GATACCATCCTGCAGACCGACGCGGACAAGCCCAGCAAGCATCAACATGAACACAAATGACAAACAAATGCAGCAAGCAAAACTACAGCTTCGGCTTCTCATTGAATCTCGGGGCCTCCAATGGATCATAGGCACCCAGTCCAAGGGTATCAGATGGCACAACCCCAGAGTGCCCACCCAACAACCCACGGGTATCAATGAGACTGGGATTGAGTTCCGCAACAGTGGTAGCTCCAATCAATCGCATATTCATCTCCATCTCATCCTTGAGCAGCTGCATGGCCCGGTCCACACCATTGAGTCCATAAGCAGACATCGCATACAGGAAAGGCCGGCCAATACCAATGCCCGTGGCGCCCAGGCAAAGCGCCTTGATGATGTCAGTTGCGCGACGCACACCGCCATCAACAAAGACCTCAATGCGCTTTTCCCAGCCGCGCTCACGGAGAGCAGGCATCACCTCGGCCAACACCTCGATACCTGACCGTGCGGTCTCGAGCTGTCGTCCACCGTGGTTGGATAGCACGACGCCGTCACAGCCTGCCTCGACAGCCCGCAAGACATCCTCAACGCACTGCACGCCCTTCAGCACAATTGGCATGTTTGTGATGGACTTGAACCAGGGAATGTCCTTCCATGAGAGGGCGGGGTCGATGAAGGAGGAGATGGCGCGGGCGGCGCCCTGCGAGCGGTCAATATTATCACCGCCAGATTGGACGTTTGAGCCAGGATCAGAGAACTTGGAGCGCATGTCCTTTTCGCGGCGGCCGAGTTGAGGGGCGTCGACAGTGATGAAGAGGCCCTTGCAGCCGCGCTTTTCGGCGTGCTGGACGATCTTGCGTGTGATTTCGCGGTCTTTGTTGACATATAGCTGAAGCCATTGCACTTGGTCGCCTTGCTTGGCGTCGACAATCTCGTCGAAAGAGCAGGAGGCTAATGTGGGGATCATCTGAACCACGTTGTGTTGGTGGGCCGCTCTTGTGAGCACCACTTCGCCTTCTGGATGGCCTAACTTGCCGAGCGCTGTGGCGGTCACGTAGAATGGAATTGAACATTTTGTGCCCAGCATTGTTGTGCTCATATCAATGTGCTCGACATCGACTAGAATTCGTGGCCGGAACCAGATCTTGTGGAAGGCTGCGTGGTTCTCACGCATTGTCTGGCAATGGGTTAGTATTGGGGAATTTGATGCATGGGGTATCGATGTCAATATCATGATAACTTACAATTTCATCATCTGCTCCGCTAGAGTAGTACGCCCACGCGGTTTTCTTCATGACTTGGCGGGCCACCGCCTCAAAGTCCATCAGGTTGTAGCATGCTTCAAGGGAGGGCATGAGGGCGATGCGCTCTTGGCGGCTGGCCTCCTCCGGGTCGAATGCCTTTTCTTCCTGCTCGACGGTCGACATGTCTACTGGTCCCAAGTGTTTCGACTGGTCCAAGAACTTGTCTAGGGTGTCGGGTGGGTGGATTGGTTCGAACTCTTCGGTCGCATCTTTGCCGGCATACTTAAGGATGATCTTTTGACCACCGGGGTGTTCTGAGAAGTGTTAGTGTGCATTCGAGGGGAACGGCAGTAGTGAAGAGGCACATACCCGGAAGGAATTCGGTGACGTCGTAGGCTTTGCCGTGCACAATGACCCAGCAAGAGTCTTTGGAATTGTGCTCGGCGACCTTCGCGCCGGTTAGTTTGCCTTCGCTCATTTTGAAAAGGATATGAGAGTGTATATTGTAGTATGCAAAAGAGGAAGGGAGAAAGTAGTTAAAGGAAAAATGATCTAGTGGACCTCGGGGGAAAAGAGTCCGTCCGGGGGAGAAACTTGCGGGGAGGTTCTCGGCCGACTCGTCGGATGAGACCTCGAATGCTCGTCGGATGAGACGTCGATTGCTCCTTGAGTCCGGATATTATTTTGATGTATACCTAATAATGTATGAAGTCCAAGAAATCGATCTAAGAGGTTGGATTGCGATCGTCGTAAGAACCTCGGTCTAGGCTACGTCCATATTACCAGCCAGTAGTAACGGACGCATTAGGTATACGTGCCCGGATATTCCGTACACAGCCGTGGACTGTTTTCCTGTGCTATTTTTGTGCGACATACAATGTACTGCATTCAGAAAACGTCTAGAAGGGCTACATATAAACACAGCCAATCGAACCCATCGCTGTTGACAGCCCTACATTCCCCAGTTGGAATGTCGGGGATATCCTTTAAGGAAGGAATAGCGAGTTGCACGAGGCGGCATGTGATGAGGTCACATGATCCCTGTCATACAAGTCTTGGCAGTACAAGGCACACCACAACATATATCATAACACCATTGTGTCGAAACAAGAGCAGACGCCCGTCTATGCAGCCCTGTGTCTCCCAAGTGGTCTCTGCAGATATCTTGTACATCTGTCTCCTTGGAAGATATTCTTTCCCCCTTTCCATTTTATAGGCATGTAGACAGCAGAAAGAAAGCGGCGAAAGACTTAAACATGAAAGCGAATTCTCTATGTATAAACTAGGGTACAGTCTTCAAGGCTTTGGGCGATATAGCAAGCTCCCACGCCAATTGATAGTGCAAATTGCCAGTTGAAAAATATCACTCGCATTCTTATAGAGTACATACTGTAGATCCTCAAGAAGGATCCTGTCTTGGGCTTGGCTGACAGCGCCACCGTCGATCGCCTACAAGCTTCTTCGAAACCTGGTTCTTACTTCAAAGTCCAAAGAGACCGCCAAAAAAAAGCTTATGTTGGCAGTGCGTATCAGGCGCACAAGCCACTTCGTGATCGGCATCGATGCATATGCTATCATCGGACATGCTCACTCACTCGCCCTACAACGTATGCGTCTGCCTGGCGTTGCCGGCGCCTCCGAATATTCTCCACCCTCCCACACCTCCCACACCTCCGCCATTTCTCCATCTTCCGCCACTGTGGTTGCCCCTTGTTACCTCGTGGTCGCCGCTGACGTTTTACGGGGAAGGGGTTCACCAGATGCACTGTCCACAAGTTGTACCATGTGCATGTGGCGCATAATCCTTGAATCTGTCCATGGAAGTGGAGATCGAACCGGGGCGCAAATTGATCGCCACCACTGCTCAGAAAATGGTATTGTAGGACTATGTAATTGTTGTAGGTATGTAGGTGTATGGGTATTGCCCGGGTTACCTATCAAAAAATATACGGCAATAATAAGAAGAACCAATCCTAATTACGGGATGTCATCCACAGATCGGCTGCGCGGACAACCAAAGGCTTCGAGATGAAATCCAAAATTCCCCCAGGCAGCAGTCATATCTACAATGTTTTCAACGAATATGCACTGTGGCATCGTCTCATACTTGATTATTCTATCAATTAACACCTCATCGGGATCTGTTGGCGAGGATATAAAGATAATCTTACGAGATCAGGAAGGCGGTTCAGCGAGATACATTATTAGCCAAAGGAGACCCATAGTCTCCTGAATTGTGGACATGGACATGCGGACCTGGCCACGAAGAGAAGTAGAGAATTGGTACGTAGCAGTTTCTACTACACTTCAATAGCGACGGGCTCTTCAGATCCAGTGCCTTCGGACCTAGGCATATTAGAAAGAAGTTTTAACCGTGTGTAAATTTATGCCTCTCTCGGCCGTGTCCACTTCGTTGCAGTTCGAGAAAAACTTTGACAACGTCGGTGTGGTTCAACGACATCATTGCGGATACATACTAAGCGACACTTTTCCGAATTTCCATCTCTTCGAGACATGACGTGGGTCATCATTTGAACGGAGAAAAGAATTAAACCGTTTTATAAGTTTTTATACAATTCATGTGTCATCTTTTTACTTCAGGCTGAAAAGAACGGTCCAGCAAAAAAAAAAGAAAAATTAAAAAATTAAAAAAAAAAGCCTCACGGGCCCTAAGCGGCTTGGCTCTTGGCTTTGCTTAATTCTACATGTAGAAAATCCAAACATAGATTATCCTATATACTCTTTTCAGATCCGACAAAATTGTACATATGCAGCCTTATACTGTATTACATATAGGCTAAGATAGGGATATCCATGAAATAAAGGACGAAAAGATCTTGTGCAAGGAGAAACGCACATTCTATATCGAGTAAGCCACAATGCCGATCCTTCTCCGATCCCTTTAGTCTGGCGCTAGTCCTTTCACGGAATTGTTGTCGCCGAAAGACTTCGGGATGGAGACGGCTTCCCGAGGCCCCGTTTTGCAACCAGCACCGAGAAGCACGGGAGTGGCTTGGCGCTTGGGCTCGGCATCCGTTGGAGATCGGGTACAACGTCCTATGTTATCTGGAATACTGAGGGATCCTAACAGGTCGTATTTGACATATTACCGTGTGCGTGCGCAATCCCGCTGATCGGGATGCACTGACTTAATAATCGGCAAGCCTTGTGTTATTGGTCTTTTCTCCTTGCCTTTAGTTTCTCACCCGAGAAGACACGCACCAGGTACACTTCAACTTGACCCAGAATTCATTGGGAAGTGTTATGTTTGGTCAGTCAAAGTACGGATCCATATAGAGCATCTCCACCGTATTGTGAAGACCAATGAAAAAAACATGAATCTTAACAAAAAAAAATGGTAAAGAAATTTCAGTGACATCATCAGGGACGCAAACCACCTGGAAATCTCACGAAAATGCTTAATATGCCATTATTGATGCATTCGGCTGATGGGGCTCCCCTTGATAAGAACATGATTCGTTCAACCATTAAGTAGCACCTTTTGTTATTTACATTTTGATTTGATTTCCCCCACCGTGGCTTCTCCGTAGCCCGAGGGGAATAAAAAAAATATTATATGAATCTCATTACTACTTTCGTCAATCTCCGGAGAAGCAAGACATTCAAATATCTCCCTGTTCCCTTCCCCTGTCCTTTTTTCTCCGCGTGTATCTATAACCCCAGTCATTCTCTACTCACGTGTTCCAAGTCCTTTTATATACCCTCGGACTTGTATAGATTGGTTAGATTCGAGATTATCTTCCATTCTTCATCATGGCGCCTACATTTGCTGGTATGTCCGGTAAACCCTTAGGGTTGACGGTATCAACCATCGCTACGATGGGTTTCCTACTTTTTGGTTATGATCGTGAGTATAACGTCGATCTACTACGCAAATCTGATGCTAACCATTTGCAGAGGGTGTCATGTCCGGTATTATTGATTCCGACGCCTTCGGAAGGTTTATGCCTATCACCCATGGCGACTCCACCATGCAGGCCTTGGTGACTGCCGTCTACGAGTTGGGCTGTCTGGTCGGTGCCATGTATGCCTTGTTCGCTGGTGACAAGCTTGGTCGTCGTCTCATGATTATTCATGGTGCTTGGGTTATGATGATCGGTGTTGTTATTCAAATCTCTGCTATCAAGGGCCACGGAGCTACTGCACAGTTCTTTGTCGGTCGTATCCTCACTGGTATCGGCAACGGAATGAACACTTCCACTATTCCTACATACCAAGCCGAGTGCTCGCGTTCCTCCAACCGTGGTCTTCTCATCTGTATCGAAGGTGGTATCATCGCCATTGGTACAATGATCGCCTACTGGATTGATTTCGGTGCCTCCTACGGCCCTGACGACCTCACCTGGCGTTTCCCCATTGGCTTCCAGATCGTCTTTGGTCTTATCATTGTCATTGGCATGTACTACTTGCCTGATTCACCTCGCTACCTCATCTCCAAGGGTAAGGTGCACGAGGGTGAGTATGTGCTCGCTGCTCTCGGTGGCTACGAGATCGAATCCCACGAGACCCAGCTTCAGAAGCAGCTTGTAATCGAGTCCATCGAGGCTGCCGGTGTTGCTGAGGGTGCTGGTTACTCTGATCTCCTCACTGGTGGCAAGACCCAGCACCTGCGCCGCATGCTCATCGGTTCTTCCTCTCAAATCGCCCAGCAACTGTCTGGTTGCAACGCTGTCATTTACTACCTCCCTGTCCTCCTGAAGAAGTCTCTCGGCCAGGATAACTTTATGTCCATGCTCATCGGTGGTATCAACATGATTGTCTACGCCATCTTCGCCACCTTCTCCTGGTTCTTCATTGAGAAGATTGGTCGCCGCAAGCTCTTCATCGGTGGTATGACTGGCCAGATGGTTTCGATGATCATCGTCTTCGGTTGTTTGATCCCTGACCAGACTGGACCTTCCAAGGGTGCCGTCTTTGGTCTCTTCCTTTACATGTCTTTCTTCGGTGCCTCCATTCTGCCCCTCCCCTGGTTGTACCCTGCCGAGATCTCGCCTCTCCGTACTCGTGCTAAGGCCAATGCCGTCTCGACCTGCTCCAACTGGCTATTCAACTTCACCGTCGTTATGATCACCCCGGTTATGATTGACAGTATCTCATGGGGTACCTACCTGTTCTTCGCCGTGATGAACTTTATCTTCATCCCCCCATGATCCTGTTCTACCCTGAGACCGCCGGTCGCAGTCTGGAGGAGATCGATCTCATCTTTGCCAAGGGTTACTGCGAGAACATGAGCTATGTCAAGGCTGCCCGCGAGCTGCCCAAGCTCACCGACGAGGAGATTGAGGCCAAGGCTGCTGAGTATGGCTTCGAGACTAGCCGCCGCCAGGGTGATATGGAGAACGCCGGCGAGAAGGGCTCCCCTCGCAGCAACTCCAGCGATGAGAAGAATTTCCACGAGGAGACCGAGAACTCCAAGTCTCTCTCTTGAGCGCCATGGGCTCAACGAGCTCTGCTAAGCGGGGTTTCAAGTTACCAGCGTGACAGCGCTGTGCGCTGCTATCTTACATGTTATGGCTGTGCTGTTCCCTCTGTCTAATGGACGGGTGAACACCAGATTCTCTTTTTCTCTTTTCTCTTTTTTCTCATTTTCTTTTCATTTTTCTGTTTTGACATTATATACCCATTTTTTCTGGCCTGGAGCATGACACCCTGGCCTTGGTGCCGGTGAACGATCCTCTCTGCACCCTTTTTTAGAATCCAACGTGCAGTGTCTTTTTCTATTCCCTCTGGGACAATAGTTCGGTCGGATATGGGAATCATCAGCTTCATGTATATGCGTCTTGTATGATACCAGTCAAGATAACGAACTTATATTCCATCTACTCTTTTCCTATTTAAAATGTAAATCTTGAGACATATAAATCTTATGTCCCTGCATGTGCGCTTAACCTGCTTCTCCCGGATTTTAATCGTGACTCATGCGAGTGCTGCCTTGCATGAGGCTTATAGATTCCCCGAGCAAGGGACCATTCACAGTCGCATTTAAAACTATATATAATAGCATAATCACCCGTAGAAGCCAATCAACTAAATTATTAATTAGCTGGCAGTTATCCAAATCCCTTTGTCCGGAATACATCCTTGAATCTCATATCTGCTGCAAGATATAACTAGTCTTGTTTTATAGAAATCCCCTATTTTCTTTTTCTGACTTCTTTTACCATCCTAAACACGTGCTACTGACCCCGTGAACAAGAAGCCACCGGCTGATACCGCCCGCAACTTGCCCGGGCTATCTTTTCTTTCACTTCTTCTTCAAATATCCCTTTGATCTGATTTCTTTGTTTCTATCGCGTTGATTGTCAAATGGGTTTGACTATCAGCATATAATGCGAATACAAAAACTTGATCCCCGCTTCCTCAACGGGGAAACATGAGTTCAAGCCTCGAAGCTAAGATTGTTGTCCTTGGAGCACAGGGTATGTGAGCTTCAATATAACTTGAAACTCAAGAGAATATACTGATTTCAATCAGGGGTGGGAAAGACTGCACTCGTGGAGAGATACTGTACAAACACTTTCAACCCCGCAGCGGCTTCAACTATCGGCGCGTCGTTCGTGACGAAGCGCGTCCTCGATTCCACCTCCGATACCATAGTCAGATTACAGATATGGGACACAGCCGGACAGGAGAGGTTTCGCAGTATGTCGAGACTTTATTATAGGGGAGCTCAAGCAGTGCTCCTGTGCTATGATGTCAGTCTCCACACTTTCCCCTCTTTGCCCTTACAGTCTGCCTCGACATTTTGCCTATTACATGCGCAACGTACATAAAGCCTACAATCCTACTGATACTAACTGTCCCAGATCACCGATCAAAACAGTTTCCAAGAAATGGCGGGCTGGCTGCGCGAACTCCGCAAAAACATCACACCCAGCGACGACGGCACAGACTCCCTCATAATCCACGTCGTAGGTACAAAGTCCGACATTGTCGCCGATGACCCTTCCCGCCGCCGCGTTCCTTTTGAGCGCACCATCGCCTACGTCGCCGAACAACTCTACCCAACCCAAGCCTCCACCCCACCACCGACCGCAACAGCAGGCATGGGCGGCCTAGGCTTTGGGACGTCCGTGTTTGGAGGTACTAGTGGTGGTAGTAACGCCAGCGCCAGCGCTGCAGCACTCTCATCAAATGCCCTGCAGAGTCCGGACTCGAAGCGTAGTTCGGCATTCTGGGGACAGGAGATTGGTTGGGATTGCTGTCATGAGATCAGCGCGCGGGATGGCGAAGGAATCGATGAGGTTTTTCGCGTTATCACGCGTAAGCTGGTCGAGCAGCGTAATCGACGTGATACCGAGCTGGCTTTGTCGATTGGTAGTGCGTCCATAGCGAATGGGGTTGCTGGGGTTTTTAGTCCCGGGATCGTGGAGGGTACTGGGAGTTTTCGGCTCGGTCTTGGTGATAAGAGGAGGAGCTGGCTGGGTTTAGCAGCAGCTGTTGATGTAGATGGTGCCGAGGAGGAGAGGGTCACGCATGCCTCGCGTAATAAGGGGCGCTGCTGTTGATTGGTTAGGGGAACTGGACTGGATTCTTTTTCTTGTATTTAAGCTAGCGTTTTGGACTGTTTGATTATGGATGTACGAGTTAGAAGAGTGTACTTAGGGCTTGGATTAGGCGGCCCTGGTTTCTTGTATTTTCGGCTTCAATATATATGCATGAGGTACTTTTTGTTCAATAAGCCTTAGTAGGATTTCCAACAGGATCAATAACGCCGCATACAATCGGTCTATAGAATCGGATGTGGAGCCGGTGGATCCGATCGTAGATGCCCACTGATTTACACATGGATGATATTATAGCCGTGTAGATTAGTCCATGCCATAGGCAACAAGATAACGATTGGACCGTCCTCGCTCTCCCGGAGATATGAAATTCTCAGGTATTGGGCTTCAGCCTCCAAACCCCCTCATTTCGCTTATAACGGAGAATTTCATTTCGTCTCATTGGCCGAGGGCCAATCAAAGAGAAGCTCCAGCTGTCCAGGTGGACTGTGCTGTTGCTATCAGAAGTACCTGTCGATTGCAATGTATATCCGCACGGCCTTGTGCCAACACTTTTCTTTTCTTTTTTTTTTTTTGTCAGTGTCCCTTTGCTGGGCATTTCTTCTTTCCTTTCTTATCTCCTCCAAGCTTTTTCCGAATTCTCAGTTTTGTTACTATACCCTTGGATCCCAAGATACACCGCTCGTATTCAACCCCTCCCATATATCCCGAGTGCCATCTGACTCACCATGTCGGGGGTGGAGGTGATAGCAGTCGTAGCCTGTGTGGCAGCCAGTAAGCCCATCCCCTATCCTGTTATAGATGAGACTAATGACTCCAAATCATCAAACAGTCGTCTCCGCCTACAATGACGGATCGCGGATGTATACGGCCATTAAGAAGAAATATCACGAGCGCCAGTCCACCCGGGCACTAGAACGGTCGCTCACTCTCGGCCGTACCGAGATCCAGTCTCGCTTTGATCAGCATCATCAAGAGCTGGGACGACGATACTGGGACGGTGACGCGATCGCTCGTGAACAGATGAAAGATATCATCATCACACTGCAGGGGGCGTTGCTGAGACACCTCCGTGAGGCACAGGAGCAGGGGACGACTCTGGATCTGAACGCGTTGCAGATAGAGTCCGACCAGGGGCGCGTTCGCACGCTCGCCATTTTAGGAGATCTGTATCTGCGTCTTTCGAGGCCATCGCATATCCCGCCATCTTTTTCGATGTTCATTAATGCAGATCCAAACTATCACAGGATAAACCTGCAGGGCGGTGGATATCCTTCCAATAGTCCGGACGGATACTTGCCATCCTACTCGTCGGAGATGCGATACCTTTCTGGCGGATATCCCGTATCACCAGGCAGTTACACACCAGGCCGGGTTCTAACGCAGGACACAGTCGGTTCACCGAGAGAGTATCCGGCCACCAGTCCAAGAACGAGGAGAAGATCATCGGCCATTGGGTCAGCTTGGACTAGTATGGGCGAATTATTTCATTCCCGTCCAGGCCGCTCGAGTACACAACCATTCGCATCGTCGGCGCCCGAGCCCGGGTACATCCCACCCAGAGAATACGACGCGGTTTCGCCGTTGACAACAAACCAAATTCCGGAACTCGATGTCAGACCAGCCACGCCACACAGACCTCATTTGCAATTGAGCCCAATACCCCACGATGTCGTTTCAGGGAACCCGTGGAAGGACTCTGACTCCGACTCCGGTGATGACGCCTTCAGCCCTGCTCGGATCAAAGAAGAAAACTCTCACCTCTCGACCATATCCCCGTCGACGCAAACCCGCCACAGTTCCGTCTCCGCAGCCTCAACCGCCTCCACGGACTCAACCCCGTCAAACCCTTCTACCCTCAGCAGCACCGATGCAAACCGACCCCTGTGGCCACCTAGCAAATCGAACAACTACCTGGGCTTCTGCAAAGGTGCTTGGAAAGTGCATACCGGATTCCGGGGATTCCGAATCTACACCGAACCCGGAACAGGCTTTTACACGCAACAGTCATGGCTACGGTGCGCGCATTGCGCTTTCGAAGCACCCATGGCCCCTAAGAGTTCCAGCCGCAATCCGCAGTTCGAGGGAAGTGTCCGTACGCACAAAGCTAGCGGTGTCCGGTATCGATTCGGGTTCTTGGCCAAGTCACATGTGCACTGTAAGCGGGACGCCGCGTCGCATTTTGCTCCTAATACTCCCCGCGGCGCGTTTTGCTGTGTCTTTTGCTGTGCGATGGCACATGGATCGATGCAGGTTTATGGGAATCTAGATACCTTTATGGCACATCTGGCGGAACAGCATTCGGCGGTTGAGAGGGGAACGTTAGCGGTTTTGCCTAGTATACGGCGTGTGGTTGGTCGAATAGCGCCTGATTCAGAGGATTTTGATGTGAATATCTTGGCGGTACGCGGCTGATGTCTTGGATCTTGGGCTTATGTCTTGGGGTTGTGGGTTTCATTATATTTTTGGAGTGATTGTCTTAGGGTTCGGACTGGATGGCGTTGGTCATACCTTTTTTTTTTTTGGACCATATAGGAAACACTTGATCTGCAGTCCAACAGAAATCTCCTTGCATAGGATGTGTATCATATATATCATTGTTTCAGGAGTGGATCATCAGGGTCTACAACACCAAAACCAAATTCGATTTTCCCCCTGAATATATAACCAATATTGGCCGATAGGCCGAGAACCTTAAGTTGGACCAATCAAAATGCCCCAAATCACCCATATGCCCCGAAAAAAGTCTTGAAGTGGTCGAAATTGGAGAAAAGAGACAAGTTTACCCCCCAAATGAGGAAAGTGCCGACTTGAATTCCTTTTCTTTTTTTTCCCTCTTATTAAGGAAATTCGACGGTTCTCTGAGGTCTTTCTTCTCTCCCTTGACTCGGCACTTTCGTCATCTCGCGTTCACAGTGAGTTTCATCCGGCCCATGGGGCGCTGCTTATCACTTTCTTAAGATTGCGTGTCCTGAGACACTGGCTTTTCCTCATTCTCTCTCTTCCAAACTCCTCCCCCCTTAATTCTCTTTCTCTCAATCCCGACAATCGCGTTATGCGATGAGGTTGTCACTTCGTGTCGGTGCCGCTGCGGCACTCATCATCCTGACTCTCGTACTGGTCAATCGCAGTCTCAAGACCAAGGGTGAATCAATTCAGGATATATGGCACTTCGATACCGGCTCATTCCGCACATCTCTCAGACCAAAGCCCAAACAAGATACGGGATCTCAACGAAAATGGCGCATTGCATCGGACAATAAACCCGCTTTACTTTACCAAACTACCGATATCACGGTCCCCAACCAGGGTGCTATTGTGATGGGCAAGCGCAAGGAGGAGGATACTGCCTGGGTTGGGGCAGAGCTAGCGGAGTAAGCGTAACTCCATTTTGTCCCCAAAAGAAGACAAGCGCTAATTCAGTCTCTCTCCAGATGGCGTAGCGTCATTTACACCGTCGACGATATCAATGCACCGACGCACACCCCGAAGAACAAGGGTCGCGAGGCTCTCCCCTACCTCCAATTCCTGATCGACCACTATGATAACCTTCCAGAGGTCGTGGTTTTCCTTCACAGTCACCGCGACGGCATAATCGCCGGCTGGCACATCGACACCATGGATTACAGCAATGTGGACTCGGTGCGCGCGTTGCAGAGAGATTTCGTGTTAGAGTCAGGCTTTGTCAACTTGCGTTGCCAATTGAGCCCAGGATGCCCCTCCGCCATCCAACCGTTCCGCCAACCGGCGAATCTCGAAAGCCCAGGTGAGGCACATTACGCTGCTGCGTGGAAAGAGCTGTTCCCCGATACGCCTGTTCCTCGCGAAATCGCGGCGCCGTGCTGCTCCCAGTTTGCCGTTTCCCGAGATCAGATCCTCCGGCGCCCCCATAGCGATTACCAGCGCATGTACGACTGGGTAATGAACAATGAGCTGTCGGACGAGGCTACCGCGAACATTATGGAGTACTCATGGCACATCATTTTCGGCAAGGACCCTGTCTTGTAAGTTGTCCTGCAATGATCTTATTTCTCTGCTAACATGTTTCCTTGCAGCTGCCCTGATTTGTTCCAATGCTACGGAGACGTTTACGGCGAGGAGGTCATCTTCACCTACTGATCATTTCAAGTTATTCCTCTTTGCCTACAAGAGCTGGTAGCTCTCTTGTATTTCCGGAATACCCTTCTTTACTACCCGGCAAGTGCCGGAACTCCCCAAGGGAGGAATACCATGGCTACTGGGAAGACGCAGAGCCAATGCCACATGATGACCCGCTTCGATGTCAAGTTTTTTTTTCCCCTTCTATCTCTTTCAGAAGCAAATGTACAAAGACTCAAATGTGCCCAGCTATCACAGTGATATCATCTGTCTCGCCTCGAGTTGCACATCCAACTCAGGATCATGAGACCTTCCTTTCGTGCTACGGCACCCATGTATATCTTATTTGCAAATCTTATTCCTGTTCAATCATAGACATGGTACACATGTAGCTACCCTGCAGCTCTCTCTATCTTCTCATCCCCCCCGAACCATCTCCCCACCTCATCCTTCCGATACATTCACCACCAACACTGTAAAGAACTAATTGATCATCTAACCAGCAACAATAGCCCGTCGAAAGGTAATGTTGATCCGTCATCTTGTCTGCGCAACCTTCCCCTTCCGCTTAAAAATACTGTATAACAGTCCTGACTACGTCACCTCACGCATAACAACTATATTGCCTGGCTTCAGACTCATCTAAATTTGCTACATTGTCAGTGTAGCAGGTCTCGATCCATTCCCTATCATACTTTCATTCATCATGGCTTCTCCCTCGGTAACCCATACTTTACAGTATGGTCCAGGTCACCCGACAGCCGATAATACACGAATCAACTGGTAAACAGTGTGTAAAAGGTAGGCAAAATAGCAAGCTAACAGTAGGTCTCCCGAAGATGCTGAAGCATCCAACAATAATACCTTAAGACTCCACATTCACACCAGTCCCCACCCCTCTGCCACTAGATCATAAAAGCCAGCCCTATAAGCCAGACATCCCACCTGATTCAATGTCTACGATTAGGGCACCGCGAACACCATCAGAGATACACTCTGTCAACATTCCCAAAAAGGAGATCCACTGATCTGGTATCCCACTCTAAATTCGACTTCGGGATGGCCAGCGATACATTTCGGTTGTATTGTTTGGATACCGATATTCATCATGCTAAAGAGTCCCGAACTCATGCTGTCAACTTCACCCCATGAGCCTTGGGATATTTGGGACATTTCTAGAAGGTGAGTACGTGGTTCGGCTTGAAAGTAACAGGAGTTAGTGAAGCTTAATGAGGCAACGGATGTTAGTTAAACGAGAGCAATATTAAGCTCAGATTGGGTACTGACGACCTCGCTGATAAAATCTCCTCATTGATATATGGATAGTATACTTCTTTAACGAGGGAAAAACATGATCAGCGACCATTAGCATTTATTCGCCTATGAGAATGTAGATTCTGATACTATAAGTGGTTATAGCGGTTGTGAATTCGGTTGGGGAACCTGGTAGCTTAAAACCACTCTGGAGCCTATATCCTAGGGTAAGAGCCGACCGCCGAAGGTAGTTTAAATTATCTTGTGGCGCAGTATCCGTAGTTAATACCTAGGATAGGTAAGTAAGACGAGGGCGGGTAAGGCTTCTTCTAGTGCTGGGAAACGGTTCATCTTCATGGTGGCAGAGTGCTGTTCGGCCTACTACGACCCTAGGAAGTGATTGCTTCTCGTAGCTCTGGCTATTACCAGACTCAAGTTCGAAGATAATCCAAGCCGGGAAAAAGATAGCAGCTCTGACACAGGCAAGTGGCGTGATGGCAGTAAGCACAGGCTGCACAGCGACTGTCTGACGCTTAGTCGGATTGGTCAATTTCGGCCACCGGACAGTGGGATAGGAATTAAGAACACGACGATTCGAATGTCCAGATAAGTCGACTGGTTCCCTGAAGATCTCATCAGGGCGCACGAAGATGATAGACATGGTTCGAAGGGTCAGTGGTATTGGACGGGGTGAGGAGGCTGTCTCCATACAAATAGGCCTCCCAAAATGTGTACTGTCCCCTCCCCGAACTTACTACGGATCCAGGTCCATCCCTGGCGTGAAGGATGGTGAAACTTGCAGGTTTAATCGGTTCAAAGCGTAAAGGGCGCCATGTCATTTGAGTGCCATGCACCCTAGCCACCCATATTTTCCCAGCGTTTTGTTCTGTGTGGGAATGGGGAAACATATCTCGTGCGTTTTGGATACTTTCTCAGGCGCGAAGCGGAGGCGTATTACCATATATGTCGGTGTAGGGTGAGCTTTGTTGGATACACTGAACATGTGGGGATAGACGGATCAGAGATGCTATCAGAGTCGACATTCTGCCAATTACTGAGGGGCTGATTTATTGTCGCTGCTGCTCGACAACAAAGGGTCAGCATTAAACAGAGTTCGCAAGAGTGTTTGATACAAGCCGGTGTGATGGATTGTAGGAGATGAATCGACCCTACGCCAAAGCTAGCCAAGATGGGACTGACATATGATACGCGTGATGCTGATAGGTAACAAAGTTATTCCAGTAAGGGACCAGGTCGTAGTAAAGTATGAGCTCTTCCGCTGCAGGTACCCTGTAGCTCTCTCTCTCCCTCCATGATGATAATGAATAATTCATTTACCCGATATAGTTCGCTATCACATACACGCTGCTATGCGGGTATAGTATCCCAGACCCTGCTCCTAGACTGCACCAAAACTCGCAAACCCGAAAAGCCCAACCCAGAAATGGGTTAGGTTTTGGGTTAAGTTGGATAACCTATATAGGTTTGCGGGTTACCTGTACGGGTTATAACTGTCGCAGTAGAAAGGAGAGAAGGCTTCTACAAGAGTAATATTGCGGAAAATGTCAGTCACAACACAAGTGATGATTTGGCTGTTGGTGAAGGCATAGAAAACATTATAAGCCGTAGGGTGCTGGACCCAGGTGTAAAAGTGGGTGGAGTGATTGGTGAGACTTGTGGCGTACTCGGCTCTACGCACGGCGCTGCATGGGTTGAATGCAAAAACTAGTTCAATGCAAATGTACCTATTATACGCGCTACGCATACAAAGGGTACTTTGAAACATATATCTCTCTCGACCATCTCATCTAATTATACGAAGATAAATTGATACTCAGAACCTACTTGGCTACTTAACTCTGAAGATATAGATTTGATCTCTGGATCCTTTTGTATGTGTACCCCATAGAAAAGGTACTTTTGCAGTGAATTAGTTTTCACATTTGACCCGTGCGGCCCAATTCCCGAAGGGGGAATTGGGCCATGCGTAGGGCCGGGTATTGGAAGGAGTGATGTTGTGGTGAGCTGGGCACATTGTCGGCACTCGTGCCAGGAAGCCTGTGTTTACATGGATCCAAGAACAAATAGGAGATAGGTGAACAGGGCCTCTATCTCGTGGGACTAGACCTCCGCAAAGCCTAACCTAACCAACCCACAGCCCACTGAGCTAGGCCATGGGTCTCTATAAAAACCTATACAATATACAGGCGCGAACAAAGAGAACTCTGTAATCTTTATATCGCGACCTTCCATTGATCGTATAAATGTCAAATTCAAAGTTGAAATAACATCCGATCGGCAAGGGGCAAGAAATAACCGAAAAGGTGAATACATACGGAGTACGGAGTATTGATATTTTAATTGCGGAGCGAAGCGGAGCAATCCTTATCATGGGCTCGTGTGTATGTCACATACGTAACTAGCACCCCGCAACTAGCATAACAATCAGCATAGCAATAAGTACTAGTAATTCCACCTAGAATCCCAGCCCACCCCCCTTACCCCCCTTCCGGGGTCAGTCCGGCGGTGTAGCCCGCCGAGCCGGCTGTAAGCCGTTTAAATTTCTATCTATCTCGCAAAAGGCTGGTCGCGGGCCAGAAAAGCCGGCTACAGGCCATCAAAAGTCAATACAGACAAGAATTTATTATACTAAGTCTAGTAAATATAATCTATATATACCTTAATGAATATATCTACCCACTAAGAATGATAATTATAGGACTGTATAGTGTTAAAACAAGTCACTTCGCTTCGCAACGACTATCTAGTGGCCTTGAGCCACCAATATCCCTTGTAGGGAAGCACTACCACTTTTGAGTGAAACTCTGTAATTTTAAAAACCTCTTTATTAACGCCTTTTCTTATATCCTTATGGTGATATAGAGAGAACACTAGTAACTAATTCTAAAATATTCAATATAGTATAATATTACCTTACGGATTAGGGTCAGAAACGGACGTGAAATAGAGGTAATTTAGTAAATCCGAAAAGGGGGTTTAGCTTGCATATTTGTATTGTTTAGGCCCTAATAGGCCCCTATTCAAAGTCTGTTGGCTTTTTACCCCGGCCCTAAAGCCCACAGCTGGCTCTAGGAACTGGGCCTAAAGCCTAGCCCATTTGCGGGCTGGGTTGGGCTGGGCTTTGGGCTTTATGGGGTTTGCGGAGGTCTACGTGGGAGGCTCTCATGTGAAAAGTGTGCCTATGATTCAGGTGCTTTTCCGCAAAACCCAATTTTTGACCCAGTTCTTGGTATTTCCAAAACCTCAGTTATTTATCCGTACACTAAGACATTTTTCAGGGGAAGGAAGCACTCAGTGACTTCCACAAGGTACAGGACTGTACCAATCTGTATAATGGCGATAAAACGGCCATCTCGCTAAGATGCCTTGGGTATCCACAACATGCCTGAGATAAAGTTGTCCCGTGGGCAATGCCTCGAAGAGGCAGTTGGTAGCAATACCAAAACACTATGACCGTCTTCTCATCCCATGCGCTAGATGTATATGCTCAAGGCCCCCATCTACTGAAATGGCTATAAATATGGCTCTTTGCTTCTATCAGAGCTGTATCCCAGGGAAACTGCATCTTCGGTCATACATCTTCCTGGCTCCAAGGATACGCCCCGATGTATTTCAGCCAATTTGGAGCACTGCTCTACCTCCTGGCTCCGGCCAGTGGGTTGGCTGTTCAGCCTTATGAAGGAGTCCCTCATGTCCCCCGAGCACACCCCTCTGCAGCAGCCTCAGCAACCCGCATTGTCAAGTTGGCAGTAGCTCTGCCAACTCCATCGGATGTGCCATACCAGAATAGCTCATCCATCTGGACAACAGCACAATGTGATCAGAATTTCATTGACGATCCTACTGTCGGTTTCGTTGATCGATGGTATGCGGCAGACGTCCCAGGAGCCTGGGGTGCGATGATTAGCGAGTGGAAGAGAGGAGCTACAGGTGAAGCTGGTCACAAAATGTATCGCAACCTCGCATTCCCGCAGTTTGTCAGCTACTTCTTCCACGGTCCGGAAAATTGGAACTGTAAGGATGTCGGTAGCGTCCCATGCTCTTCCGTTGTCCAGTGCAAGGACGTCAATCATCCAGCAGGGTATGATTACAGTCATTAGGTCTCGTCGCCTTATGCTATCGCAAATCAGCTAACCATATAATAGATACCTTATTTTAAATGCTTTCTCTGGTATCCATCAGGTAAGCCTTTCCTGGTATCCCGAATTCAACTTTTTTAATAGGGGATACTAACTAGTAAAACCTCTGTATAGCTACACACTGAGATGTACAATGCACTCGACACGGCAGCAATTCTTGTTGACCAAAAGATTGGCGAATTTACCACCACATTTTCGCCGCAGAGTGATAATACTAAGATGATCCTGTTCATCTTTGATATGTTGACCACATTTATGGGCTTTACTGTTTCAGCATTCTTTAGCGTTGGTAAGTATACAGACCACCCTTTTCATTCGAGAAACTCCGAATTAACGTGATTACAGTTGAAAAGGAGGTCGTACAGGTAGCTTCGAGCGTCGCTAGTAGCCGTGGCAGTATTGCCTCCTCGGCAGACAGTCTCCACACCGCACCTGGAAGCATAGCCTCTTTCGATACTTACCACACTGCGCCATTCTCACAAACGGAACTGAACAACTACCTGAAAGGACCGAAATTTGAATTCAATAGCAGGGCGTACGCTAACGACATGACATACCAACTTTATACCATTACGGCGGCCTGGAGTAGGAATCATATTCCTAAGTAAGCCGATATATAGCCTCCAACCCCCTCAAAGACTGCCCTTGCTAACTAAAGTAGAGTCCATGATAAACTGCAAGCCCAGAACTCAGTCAGTTCCGCTCTTGGGGACATATTCAAGGGTTGGAAGGATACCGAGGCGTCCTATTTGGAGACGATCTTTTCTGGCGATGATTCATCACTGAAAGACCTTCTATCCCTTATTGGAGATGGTAAAATGAACTATTTGCCAAACACAATAAACCAAAATGAGATGGCAGCGCAGCTGGAGGCTGTACTCTATGGCCAACTATTACCTACTGCGTGGAAGCTCGCCTCTGATGATCGCGGCGCTTACCCAAGAATCTTGTGAGAAAACTCAAATTGTTATTTGAGAAAATGGTACTAATCAGAATACCTTTTGCAGAAAGACGGATGTCTCCTGCGATACCAAGTCCGCTCATATCCCTGAGTTCGATAACATTAATCCGAAACTTATCAATGACGATCTTTCTGTCGCCACACGCGCGTGCTGGAGGGACAAGCTGGTTTTCCTTCTGAATATGAGACCGCCGCAAAAGCCAGTTATAATCCCATATGCACCACTACCTGATCAAACGGTGCCATTTTCAGAACTACCCAGTACGAATAGACTCACCTTCTCTGGAGAGAAATGGGGAGGTCTCACATTCGATGATATTATTGCAAGTGCAATGACCGGATATGAATTTGCTGGTTACAAAAATGGCTATAAATCACCGGGTACTGCTGAGATCGAGCAGGATAGGAATGCTAGCGACTATGGGAAACGAGTCCGTTATCCCGGTTTCTTCAATATACCTGTATGCGAGGGCTTTGCGGAGACCGCTATGGTTATCTCGAAGGGATCTACAGGCTCTCCATTCTGGCCTTGCAAGGATCCTGATGACTATAACACTCAAGGGACTACTATTGTACGTCTGATCCGTCTGTGACTTCTCAAACGTGGTAATAGCTGCTAATCATCGTTATAGCATGTGGCTAATGGGTGGATTACTGCTAACGGGAATACCCCTGTCTGCAGCACCTTTAGTAAGTGGCTGCCCTGTCTTTGCCCTTGACTGAGTAGGCTAACGGCGTGATCTGTAGAGGTTGATGATCCAGGATATGGCAATACACTCAATACAACCTTGTATGGAAGATTTGATGGAAACAACAAAGCCGACTCTATGGTGAAGGCATCGTGCAAGATTACTTTCTCTTGGCCAAAATCCTGGATTGATATCAATTATGGAAAGGACGATTGCATGTACGACGGCCATTGGAATCCTCTCAATGATGCAAATGGCAAGCAAGTGTGCTGTCAACAGGATGACACCCTCACCGATATGGTCCAAAACCCATACATGGGTGGAGGCAAGTGTGATCTGGAGAGTAGAGATTAGGTGGTCAGGGAAATAGGAGAGTCTGAATGGAAGGAGATGGGGCGTGGGTGCACCTTCTTCACTGCCAACATCCGGTGCGGGCTTACTCCCGTGTCCTATCTTCATGTAGTTCCTACGAATTAAGCACATATCTTCTCCATACACCATCATCCAACTGCGTAGATTGCTATCCTTTCATCAAGTTTTACACTGAGAAAACATCCGTACGTGCAGTGTCAAAGCCCCTGAGGGATCGAATCCACAGAGGAGATCGGGGCCACGGAGGATGTGGTCAGTTTTGGTTTGTCAGGGTCCCAGGTAGATGCATCCAGCTCCTTGGCAGAGCTTTGAGCCCTCCTCTTCCACCTGAGCCAATTTCATGTGCTATCATATTGTGCCAGCCTGATACATCGTCAATTTTATACACGTTATACTTCTGATTATTCCTAATGACAGTCTAAGGCTTGTTGGGTGCTATCAACGGGGATTGAGACATCTCTACTTCTGAGGTTAGTTGCAATTTTTGTATGGGATGTCAGTTTCACCAGTCCGTGGATAGGTAAACTACCATAGCACTCAACATTAAGTTGTCAGATGCTGTGTATCGCCAACACTCAAAAGCATTCCTGCTCCGCGATTCTCAATTCCGTCGTAGCAATCATGTTCTTAGGGGTTTTAAATTTGCCATCTGCCCCAAGGAAACTCTCAGAGTAGTACAATCTGATCTTTCGGTCAACAAATAATCATATATCTAAGCAAGAGTTTGCTCGGATTGCGGATTGCTAGGCGAGAAGGTTGATTGCGCTACCAGGGAAAGCGTAGTTCGGTGATCCGGATCAACGGCCAAAATTTATCACCTGCAGAGCATGGGCGAAGGTGAGGAGAAAGGAATAGCAGGCGGGCGAAACATAGCGAAAGGTTGAAGGGGCGATAGGAGGGATTATATAATGTCAAATATCGAGTACGATTAGTCTTCCGCATGACCCAGTAAAACCCAGACCTAACCCAGACTTAACCCAGTTTGGGCTCTGATATAATGGTCTTTTGGCCGAGTTTACTTTTAGAAGTGCCCTCTATTATATCCTCTAGTTTATCCCCTTACTCCTCTATTTCACTAATTAGAATAACCACAACCTTAATAAGCTTCTCCTCTCTCCCCTCTTTTACTACTTTAAGCTTATCCTATAAGAATTTCTTAAGAAGTATTACTTCCTACTCCTCTATATTCAATTTTATTATATGAAGAAATATTATTTAGCCCTTAGTAGTCTTACTTTTTACTACACTATTAAGATATGCTGGCCGGTCCTACAAGCATTTACCCATTAGACCGAAAGGTCTTAACCAAGTCAAGTCCATGGATTTACTTAGTTGTAGTGGCATATATATGTAGGTAATCCACCTCTGGGATTACATCTTCATAGTGAAACCAAGTAAGTCAGAGAGGTGAATTAATCATAGAGTACATAGTGCAGTATCGAATTGTTTGAAATACGCATGTAATTAATTTCACTGCTGGCAAAAATCGTTGTGGCTCGTTGGCGGTTAAAACCTGCCGTAGCCTATAGGCCCTTGGCTGGCGCGATGTAACAAAAGTTAGATCTGGGCAAAAATAATTGTCTTCTTTTTCTAGCTCTCTCTCTCTACCTTCCCATCCCCTAGAACCATTTCCCTCGCGACCTCATCCCACCGATACATTCCCCCACTACCGACATTATAATGATAGTAATTATTTGTCCCACCAGGAATCATTGCCCGTCGAAAGGTAACATTGATGCGCCCCCTTGTCTCACCAGCCTTCCCCTTTCGCTTAGGAATACTATGCAACCAATTCGATTGCGTCGCCCCACGCATAACAACCATATCGCCTGACCCAAGGCTTATCTTAATTTGCTGCAGTGGCACCGTAGCAGGCCCAGATCCAGGAGAGACGGTATTCAATGTTCCACCCGTGAATTTACCCAGTGCCGACGTCACACCGGTACCACCTGGACCGGGCATTGCATGTGCAGCACCAGGCACGCGTCTACCCGCAGTCTGGTTCAAATTGCCTCCAGGTACAAAAGGTTTGTGCTTCATAAGAAAATCCCGCTGGCCGCCAAGAGATATTGAGGCAATGTTCGGATCGGGGCCGAGGAAGCGCTCGTCATCTGAGTGAAATGCGATGCTGTCGTCGCCGCTAGCGTAGTAATTTACCAAGCAGAAATTGTAGCTGGGGTTTTCAGTACCTGCGGCGGCGGCTGTGGCTGCATTCGCTGCTTCGACCTGTCTTCGTAGCAGATCGAGACAGGCTGGGATTGGACGGGGCGTGCACTGGTATTTTGTTTTTGGGATCGGTGTTTTGGTTTTTGTTTCTAGTAAAAGGAGGTTGTTGGGGTCGTCGTCTTGTTTGACGAAGGTGGATGTCTCATCGACTCCGAAGACGGTTGTCCATCTTGGTGTGTTGATTTGCGTTTGGATGTCGCCTCGTCGTGCTGTGTATTGGACGCGATAGAACGGGAGCTCACGACGAAGGAATTTGAATAGCTCGTTTGCTGTTGGGCGAGGGATGTATGGTTGGAAGTAGAGGAGGTCGAGGTGTGGTTGGTTGTTTATTTCACGAGCCGAGGTTGCTGGGGTTGCGTGTTCCAGGCCTACTTCAATATGTGAGGGGAGTTGGGCGATTGGAATTGGATAGCTTTGGTGATGACTTGGGGGTTTGGTGTCTTCAATTGGGGTATTGTCTGTCTCTGTGGGTGAGACGATGTTGGACTCCGCAGACTCTGATTTGAGTCGCTTTGCAGAGGTGGTTGATGATTTGAAGAATGCGTCGAGGGTGCGTTTTGTCATAGTGGAATAGGACCTCAGAAGGTTAAGCGTTGGCAATCGTGACTGAGATATCATGTTCACGCGCCACGCGACTTGGAAAATTACGGTGATGTCATTTCAATCCCGATCTATACTTTCCCGATCCATACATCCCGATCTGCCTAGGCATAGATTTTGCAGCACTTTCAAGGAGTAACTCGATATCGCTTTCTCGGACTATATAACTACTACTACTGCTGAACTCCAGCAGTCTCGGCAAGCTCCACCACATATTTCACAGCAGATGCATTGCCAGCCTTCAGATCTTTCAATGCCGCCTCGAGACCTCCCAGTCCACCTGTTCTCACGTCGTATGGGTGGCCTGAGAACCATTCCTGTGCCAGACCTCGACCAATGAATTGGAAAAGGGCGGCCGCGAATTCCTTATCACCAAGAACCTGGCCCTCAGCAGGGGGCTTATGAACAGACCCAACCATAGTGGGATGGAAGCTAATCTGCTCCTGTGCCTTGTCAACTTTCACGGGTAAAACAACAGTAATTTTCCCAGGCTTATCGAGAGCAGCACCGATAGTCTCATAGCTTCCCTTCTCGGACACGGCATCGTAGGCATGCTGAATGGGTACGCCATTGCTAGCAGCTCTAATCCCCGCGTGGATCGCGTCGGATCCTTCGCGATAATCAACGATGGTATCTCCCTTTTCTCTGCTGATCAACGTCTCAACGAAGGGAGCACCTTTGCCTGCGACAGCAATGATGGGGTGTATGTTCGATAGTTGAGCGAACTTGATCGCAAATGCGCCAACCGCTGAGGCAGCGCCGTACACAACCAATGGAGTGGGTTTATCGACGGGGCTCCAAGGCAAAGGCAGTTTTAACTCCTGATATAGGCCCAATGCAGCAGTCATCGCAGCAAGGGGAATAGTAGCAGCCTCTGGTCGATGTGCTTAGTTTCACCCCAGTGATAATCAAGACATGTGGGACAAACCTTCAAACCCGGTATTCTCGGTGAGATGGAATGTTGTGTATTCCCATGCAATGGCGTATTCGGCATAACTTCCATGGGGGCTACCCAGATTGTGCAGCGCGGCCACTTTGTCTCCCTTACGGAAGTTCAGGACTCCCTCTCCCACTGCTTCCACGTACCCCGCGATATCGTCTCCCTGATTCATGACATTTTCTGGTTGCCATATGGGGAGTTTCCAGTCCTTCGGGTTGGTACCTGACACTACTACCCGGATGAGGACTTGACCATGTCCAGGCGTGGGGATGTCAACATCGCGGATGATGACCGAAGTGTTCTTGTCGACAACAGCTTCTTTCATTTTGGAGTATGGTATTTGATGAGATTCAAGCAGATCAAGTTGATACTTCAAGGTTTATATCAAATTGATTTGTAATGCCACGGAGCGAGGGCTCCTTTAGGAAGTCCACCTGCAGGGGTCCCAGGCATAATTATTAATTGAGCTTATCAGTGGACCGTGTTGAAAGAGTCAACCGAGGAGTCAAGGAACTGATCCCTCAAGCACCCTTGGGGTGTAAAACGAAGTGATATTGTGAAATGTGGCGGCCCAATCAATGCTGTTAAAATCTCTGTATTTTAGTATCCGCTTTCCTAAAAATTCGTATAGGCCGCGGACTACTGATATATACCTAGTTCTCCCTAGTCTGATATTGAGGAATGGTTTCTCCCGCCCGCCACTTGTACTTGCTTCCAGGATGATCTTCTGGCAAGCGCTGTGATCCGATAAATACTTCACGAGCTGTGGCACCTTCTTTCTCGATTTCTTCTCGGAACACCCCTCTCCGTCGTAGTTCAGGCAACAAAAACTCAATGATATCTTCAAAGGTTCCAGGATTGACAATATGGGCAAGATTGAAACCATCCACGTCGGATACCTCCACCCATCTTTCTAACTCATCTGCAACTGTTGTGGGGCTGCCAACAACCTTGGCCTGGAGCCCACCCACACTGATGTACTCCACGATCCTCCGTTTGGTCCAAGGCAAGCTATCCGTGCCTGGAACGGTAGCGGACCATCTCCGAACAATGGACTGGACCCGCGGAGAGTCGCTGAACCGGAAATCCTCATCATCAGCATGATTTGACAGGTCAATTCCGGTCCATCCGCCAAACAAAGCGAGTGCACCTTCGTCATCGGCATATTGAAGATAGTCTTCCCGCTTTGCCACCGCTTCTTCATTTGTTGCGGCGACAATCACGTTGATACCCACGATCACTTTGATATGATTGGGATCGCGGCCTTGTTGCTTGGCAATGTTGCGTATATTATCCACCGTCATGCGAGTACCTTCGGGGGTTTGACCGCCGATGAATATAGCCTCGCCGTGCTTTCCGCCAAATTGACCACCGGCCTCAGACACACCGGCTTGGAACAGGAATGGCGTACGCTGTGGCGATGGTTCGCAGAAATGAGGCCCAGGAACATCAAAGTATTTTCCTTTATGGTTGATCTCTCGCACACCATCGCTAGCAATGTATGTTCCGAGCTGTCGGTCGGCGAGTACGGCGTCGTCTCGGAAACTGCCTTCCCAGAGCTTGTAGAGCACCTCAAGATATTCATCTGCTATTGCGTATCGCTCGTCATGCGGGATCTGCTCATTCAGTCCGTGGTTTCGGGCTGCACTATCCAGATAAGACGTGACAATATTCCATGCCAGACGGCCCTGACTGAGATGATCCACGGTAGAGAGTCGGCGTGCCAGCGCGTACGGTTTCTCATATGTCACGCTGGCAGTCACTCCAAAAATGAGGTTCTTTGTAACGGCAGACATGGCAGGAACAAGGTACAATGGGTCATTGACTGGAAATTGCGCGCCCGAGGCCAATGCTGGCACAACATTACTAGGGCCCTTGTACACATCGTACGCCCCCAGGGTGTCCGCGAGGAACATCGCATGGAAACCAGCTTTGTCGAGCAATTGAGCTAGATCAGTCCAGAATGAGAGGGATTTGTACTGGTCGGTTTTGTTTCTTGGGTGTTTCCATAGCCCGGGTGCCAAATGGCCCGGGGTATTCATGACGAAAGCATTGAGGATGATCTGCTTTTTCCCGGAGGTTGGTATGATTTCACCCATTTTGAGTTGGTGTTCAATATATGCAGTGAGTTTCATAAAGTATATTGAACTCTTAGCACCGAGTCTCTAGCGATGGGTGCCCCTTTGTATACATAGCGGAGATGTATGCGCCAAGCGCTGTCACCATTGCTGGATTGAATGTTTTGGCCCTATTGGTAAATGAGAATTCGACATTTGGTATGAATATTCTGAATCTCATATCGGCCGACAAATTCGACTGTGTGGGGAACGCAATGACCCCTGTTCGCGATTCCAAGTCATTTTATCGCCATCTGGGAGTTGAGGCACGCAATTCTAACCATCCCCCTCAGCACTCACCTGTATTCCGCAACATGGTGATCTTATTAGCGTTGCAATCTTCCAATAGCCTTCGTGCCTAGACCATTGAGTCGCATCTCTCCTACTCATTCCACATAACGCAATTGCGGATATGGACGACGTGAGATATATCGCCCACATGGCAACTTTATTTGTTACGCAATCCTTCAGAGAACGTTAATTGGCTGCCAATCTACACATAGCAGGCTTGGCATTGAAGATATGATGGACCCTGTAGACAATAAATATTTCTCGGCCCTGCGCCTTTGAACTTGGCTTTACTTTGCCCAGACATGTCTAACACGGTAGATACGTCCAAGTTGGCCTTGATCCCTCAGGGGGCGGCCTATGGCCTTCTCATTGGTCTCAGCGTCGTGTTTTGCGGTGTCATTTTGATTGCCGTCAAAGTGCAGAAAGCATATCTTGCTGAAGATTCCGGCAAGTCGGAAATGTTCATGGTCGCCAATCGCTCCGTAGGGAGAGGATTATGCGCATCTGCAGTTTTCAGCTCCTGGATGTGGATCAACGAGACGGTATTGTGTGCGGCTATGACATATAGGTATGGCCTGGCAGTGCCGCTGGTATGTTCCCTTGTGCCCTCGAATGACGTTGCACAGCTGACGCATCATAGTGGTGGGGATCTGGCCTATGCTTCCAAATTGCACTGATGGCAGCACTTGGCGTGATGGCTAAGATTAGAGTCCCTTATGCTCACACGTCGCTGGAAGTTGTTCGGATGCGCTATGGCAAGATTGGACATCTTGTGTTTATCGTGCTCAACCTCGTCAACAATGTTTTTGGCTGCGCCTCGATGATTATGACGGGCTCTCAACTCATCCATGGTGTTTCTGGAATGCACTATGTAGCAGCAACTATCCTCGTTCCATTGGGAGGTTTGTTCAGTTGATTTTATAAACTTGTGTCGGGAAACAGAAGCTGATTCCTTTATAGTTGTCCTCTATACAGCCGTGGGCGGCTTGAAGGCCACCTTCCTGACCGACTTTTTGCACACGGCGATTGCCCTCATTCTCATCATCTATTTCACGATCGCTGTTTTGACAAACTCGGCGGTCGGGGGCTGGGTGGTTTGTATGATAAAGTGATTGCAACGGCTGCTGATAATTATATCCCGGGCAACTACGAAGGTTCACTTCTTACATTCAAGTCCAAGGATGCGATTATTTGGGGGTTGATTCTCAAATTCGGAAATCTGGCACTTGTCGTTATGGTAAGTCAATTCCCCAAAGCGATATATGAAAGATCTCTAGGCAGACCATTGAGCGTCAAAAGGCCTTTTTTTTCTTCTTCAGAAATCTAATATACTATCATTAGGATACTGCATTTTGGCAAAAGTCCTTTGCGACAGAGGTCAAAGCAACTGTGCCGGGATACAATATTGCTGCATTGGCTGTCTTTGGTATCCCCTGGGGTCTAGGCACAGTCATTGGTTTGGCAACAAGGGCAATTCATGACACGCCAATCTTTCCCACCTATCCTGGTGTGCTTACTGCCACCGAAGTTAGTTCCGGCATGGTGATGCCATATACCATCAAAGCACTGATCGGAGACAAAGGAATCATCGGGTTCTTCTTCCTTTTGTTCATGGCCTTGACAAGTACCGTTTCCTCCTCAATGATTGCTGTCAGTAGCATCTTGTCTTACGACATCTACAAGACATACCTCAACCCGAAAGCTAGCGATAAGCAAATTGTGGGAGTGAGCCACTTAACTGTGGTCATTCATGGTGTCTTTATCACCGGGATTTCCATCGCTCTCAACTATGGAGGAGCAAACATGACGTGGATTGGGTACCTGAGACCTATCATCTCATGCCCAGGGATTATTCCTATGATTCTCACTTTGTTCTGGTCTCGACAGACCCGGATAGCTGCAATTATCTCTCCTGTGCTTGGATTCTTTTCGGGTCTTGCTGTCTGGTTGGCAACAACCAAATATATGTATGGCACCATCAACATCACGACCACCACAAATCCCTACCCGGCACTATATGCAGCTATTGCCTCTTTCTTTACGCCGGCTCTCTATTCCGTTGTTCTGTCACTCTACAAGCCGTATAAGTTTGATTGGAGGGTTTTCCTCCGAATCGAACTTGCAGATCAAGCAGGAATCCAGTCGCCCTCGAATGCAAGCACACTAAACGACAGTAGTGGGGAAGACCATCCAAGTGATTCCAAGCATGTCGCTGGATCGGTCAAACCAGTTGCCGATAGTCAACCAGAACGCATCAACAACGATCCAGAGCAGATCGACATGAACGAAAAGAAGGCCGTGAAGAAAGCTCCGTCTCCTTCTGTGGATATCACCCTCGATGACATTCAGCACCCATTCGACAACGAAACATTGAAAGAGCTGTACAGATGGCTTAAGATTGCTTGGTATATGTTCGGGGCCATTGTGTTGATCACGTTTGTTGCTTGGCCTCTTCCACTCTATCGCGATTATATCTTCACAAGATCATTCTTCGCGGGATGGGTAGTTGTCGCCATCATCTGGCAGTTTGCTGCTTTTGGGGCGGTTGTGATTTTCCCACTTTATGATGGACGGCAAGATATTGCGATCGGCACCAGGGGTATCTGGAATTCTTCTAAAGAGTATTTCAGCAAAGGCAAGAGAAGTTAGACGAGCTAATCAAATAAATAGAACACTGAAAATAGAGCGGGCACCGCATCGAGAAATATACGGAGCGGGTAATCCCGCCACTTCTATACATCTGTAGCTTCGTAATTATAAGTCTCCATGACACCATCGGACTGACTTGGGGAGTGTTTATTACATGGCTCATTGAAGAGTTGCTCTTTCTGTTGTATTACTTTCTCGTCACTCATCTTCAGCAGTCGGGCTACAAAGTGATACCTAGTGAGCTACCGCCAGCCACGTACCGAGTCTACCCGTGCGACCATGCCTGTCAAATCCCAAAACATTTATGACAATCCAGAGTTCTTTATTGCGTACGCAAATCTCCCTCGATCTCAACACGGTCTGCCGGCCGCACCAGAATGGCCAATTCTGGAGGAGATGATTCTGAACCCGAAGTCCTCCTTCACAGGGCCAATAGGAAGCCCTCTGAAAGGATCTCGAATCCTCGACTTAGGGTGTGGTTACGGCTGGTTTATCCGTTGGGCCCGTGAGAAAGGCGCTGGTTACATCAAAGGAATCGATATTTCCCAAAACATGATTGAACGAGCAAAGGAATTTGAGGCTGAGATTAACCGCCAAACAAAAGACAGCGTGACGGCAACGATGTCTGCTACAGAGGTCACCTTCGAAATCCACGATTTGGAGATTCTCAATTTGAGTCATCAGCCTGAGCAAGAGTTGTATGATCTGGTTTATAGTTCTCTGGCCTTTCACTACATCGAGGACTTTGTACGACTTCTTCGGGAAATCCACGGCTGTCTGAAAAAGGGCGGTGGCCATGAGCAAAGGGGAAGGTTGATCTTCTCTGTTGAACACCCGGTTGGAACCGCCCTAGTCAATCCAGGGCCGGGATTCAAGGTGATACAGGAAGCAGGTAAAGACATGATAGTGTGGCCATTGAATTCTTATAGCAGTGAGGGCCTGCGCTTGAGTAATTGGTTGGGAGCAGAGGGGGTGAGGAAATATCATCGCACTGTTGAGACTTATGTCACGGCCTTGCTTGAGAACGGATTTGTGTTGACCGGCTTGAAGGATTGGAGTCCTTCAAAGAGGGATGTCGAAGGCCAACCAGAATGGAGAGCTGAGGGACATCGTCCATACTTTCTATTGATTTCTGCCGAGGCCAGGGAGTGAGGCCATGGTGTTGACATCACGAGATTGGCAGCACATTGATTTCAAATAGTAGAATGATCACAAAATGACACCGGGGTATCTCTTGCGTATCATCCTCTTGCAATATAATTGGTGATTGAATACATGTATTCTGAACGTTGAAGTAGTATACTACTTCAAACACCCATAGAAATCACCAGTCAATGGAAGGTTGCTGCGCCCACTACCTCTAATCAAATGACCAACCCCCTGTCTTGTCAGCAAAGAAGTTATCCGGATCATACTTCTTTTTGATCTCTTGCAGCTTGCCATATGTAGAGAAGGTCGACAGAGGATTTTGATCATAGTTCGCATCATTGATGAACAATGGAAGACCTTCGGCATTGGTTGTCGACGCAACCATATCACGGAAGCTAGACTGTATGGCATCATAGTCAGGCTGACTCATTCCCGGCAGCGTTGTAATCAAATAATTTAACCAGAACCAAGGACCATCGGGCATATCCATTGCATTTCCACCCTGCATCTTGCTAGCATCTGTCAAGCTTTTCGGGACAGGCTGAAAATCCAGCGACAGGAGCAGGTATTTGCCTTTATTTGACTCGCCCCAGTTGCGCCACACATTGAGGGCGTGTTTACACTCGTCATCATTGGCACGGTGAACCCCAACACGGAAGATATTGTTCCCGCGTGAAATCTCGGTGGCGATTGGAAGTGGCATGTCGGCTACATCGGGGTAGGACTTGAGGCCAGTAGTATCGAGAAAATGTGGGATGCTCGTGAAGTTCGCGAACGCATTGCCTGCGTCAGGACCATCGTAGACTAGGAACATGATAATGACCTCGTCCAGGTTCAGATTCACGTCGGGGGTGGGCAGCATCTCATAAGTGCCGATAATGCTGGCTTTCGGGTCTGTGTTGTATTGAATAAAATTTGCAATTGCCTCAACAACGGTATCCTTTTGGGGAAAGGCATAGATGATATTGCCCGCGAAGAATTGGCCAATAGGGCGACTCTGGACCGTATACTTCGTTACAACTCCATATGCATTCCCTCCACCGCCACGCGACGCAAAGAACAGGTCGGGATTGGAGGTGTTAGATGCTGTCACAATTTTTCCATTAGGAAGAACAATTTCCAGCTCCCTGAAGGAGTCACAGGCCATGCCATATTGGGGAGAGAGATAGCTCATGCCACCACCCAGAGCGAGACCGGTTCCCACCCCGGAGAGTCGAGCTCCAACCACCGTGCGGTTATAGTCCGCGAAGTAGTCGTATATGTCGCCAAACACACCACCTGGCCCGTATGTCGCCAGCGTGGTGTCTGGATCATAGGACTTTTCCGAGAGGTCGCTCAAGGTAATGAGCACACCTTTGTCGGTGGAGGAAAAGAATTGATTAGGATTATGTCCCCCTCCTTTGACTGCAAACCGGCTGCCGGCTGCTTGGATGGCTTGGAGAGCGATAGAGACATCCTCTGAGGATGAAGGATATACGACACAAGATGGTTTGTAGGCATCCTGAGGCGTGCTCCAGTACTCAGTGCTAGTAATATACTTCAAGCTGAGCTTACTGGTAATGACTTTGGATGATCCTAGTTGCGCTCTGATATTGGAACAAGCTGCTGGACCGGGATCAGTTGCCAAAGAACCAACAGACCCCAATATGCCAACTAGGGCCAAGGCGAACGATAGCATAATTGATATGTTATATCGGGACAATTGTTAGAAGACAAAGAGCAATTGAGTTGACGACTGTAATGATCAGGAACTACGGGATCTAAGAAATCGAGCGTATATGTATTTATACCTCCCTCGATGCGTGGTGATCTACAGAGAGAGTGGCCTCGGCAGACTTATACGACGCAAATACGATAAACAGTAGAGATATGATAAACGGTAGGAATACGATAGATTTCGGCAATGAACCTAAAAAAGACCAAGAAAGCGGTGATCTTCGTCTTTCTAGGATGTCGATCAACGGTCGTTCTACCGTTTCGTCGGGAAGCGGGGAAATCCTTCACGGGGAACAGGCTCGGTGCTCAACACAAGGGTTGCCATTTGGTGAAGAGAATGTGCAAATTGTACTAAGCAATGTTGAGTCCCTAGTTAAGATCAGCCTATGCTCTTGAGACCAAGTTTATACAACAGGGCTATCATCGAGCTAATGATTCTGACTGATCTCGAGGCGATTTTGCACTTGTCATCCTAGCATTCGGGGCAGCAAGCTAGGTCATGTAGGACATAAGATATGAATCAAGAGCATTTCCAGAATAGGCGATAATCTTCCTGAAGTGACCTGTGTCTACCTGTGTCTCCCGCGCCTAAATCTCTCCCCTTCATCTTGCAGGTGACGGGATTGAAGACGGCAAATTAAATAGACTGATCAGACCTTTCTCGGCAACTTGACGTGTGTTGATTTCTGTATTCTGTTTATCTGACTAAGAGTCTCTCATCAGGAGGAGCTGGATATCTAACGCAGAATAGCTAAATGAGACTGCTTGCCCCTCGATTTATTACCTTCCACCCCGATAAAACTATACTAACTGGCTAGTTCGGCTTCTCGAGTGGGACTTTTTCTTCTCCCACTCCTCAATTGTCAGGCATAATGATACCATCCCACTATTTCGCGGACTCACACCTAGCCAGCCTCCTTACTACAGACTTACCACGATCGGAAGCCAAATCTTCCGACCTTATTCTTATTCCGACAAGCGAGAGCAAGTGGGAAACAGGTGGGGAATTTGAAGGAATTGTAAGGAGCTGGTCTGCAATGCTAAAATATTCTTGCGCTGAAGATTTCTCTGGGGATCATCGCATGAAGGGATATCTATGGGGCAAGAAATGTGTCTGTACATGTTGCCGAAACAGACAGACAGGAAGGAGAAGTGAAATGATGCGAGAGAGAGAGTGAGAGCAGGATCTGACTACTGACCTGTGCTATGGCCGTGGGTACCTCATTCCTCAAGCCATCAAACAGTTCCGAACCTGACCCGAATGTCCCTACAATCTTGACGGTGAAGGTGAAGACTGCGGCCACAGTAAAACGAAGAGATGGAAAGTGACAGCGCTAGGACGCCTGAGAAGACGTGGCCTCCCTATAAGAGCGAAGAAAGTCGAACTCATCAAACTCTGCAGATCAGTTTGTGCGTATACGAGCTCAAACGCAGTCAGATTGTCAGATTGTCTACCAAGCAATGGCCTTGTGGCGGCCAGAGAGGCTTAGCCTGAACTACCTCCATACCCGTTTGAGTAGCAACCCAATCCACTAAGCCTAATCCAGTATGCAATTTGCACCTGAGAAGATGCAATTGGCCAGCCGGATTTTCAAGTGGAGTCTCCGCGATGCTTCTACTTCTACAATATAGGGCGTGGCTGAGATTCAAAAATTTATTGCACTGCCTTGTGGAATTGAATAGGAAATCAACGCGAGCTGAAATGGCATGGAAAGGGTTAAATAGCAAATGAAAGGCCTATGGGTTGAGGGTAATACAAGCTTCCGTTTTCTGCTTCTGTGAGTTCAACACTGTTGGTTTTCATTTGCAACTATGGCCATCGACTATCGGCATGGTATCTCGATCTTCGAGATCGTTGTATACTCTCCAACCCTTTTCCTTGCGCTCTGGATGGCAATCAATCACGGCTTCAAAAGGAGCTCGGGCTGGTTCTTTTTTATCGTCTTTTGTCTTGCCCGCATTGTGGGCTCAGCATGCTATTTGGCAACGATCAACTCTCCTTCGACTACAGGTCTATACATTGCCTGGGCTGTTTGTACTTCGCTTGGGATTTCGCCATTGATCTTGGCTTGCATCGGCCTTTTATCACGAGCGTGAGCAACACCCCTTTTTGCGATTGACTCGACTCGTACCTAATAATATCCTTAGGAATGAGTCTATCATGCGGAAGACCGCCAACCATCTCCCTCCAATAAGGTTCCGGCTTGTTGGAGTAGTTGCAATAGTCGCTGTGATTCTAAACATCACCGGCGTAACCGCAAGCTCCGATATAACCCATGGCTTGGTCAGCACACAGACAAAATTCGGGCTTATTTTGTACCTTGTTGCCTGGGTCGGTGTGTGCGGACTCTTCTTCCTGATTTCGCAACGAACTCACTGCATCGAGGACGGAGAACATCGGCTTCTCCTGGCCGTTGGAGTCTCTCTGCCCTTGATCCTCGTGCGATTGATCTATTCATTGATTTATACATTTGGTCAAAAGAAAGCATTCAATATGCTAGTAGGGAATGTCACAATACAGCTTGTGATGTCTGTCCTGGAGGAGATGGTGGTTGTTCTTGTATGCTTGGGTATTGGCCTTACACTTCAAATACGACCACCTGCAGAATACACCCAGCAGCCTAGTGTCTCGAGCCGACAAGAAGATTTGGTGGAGCTGGGGAGTGGCCGTTTGATGGGACAAAGGCGCGAGAAATGAGCCTGACCAAAGCGCCGGGGTGGTCCCATCACAAGACTCGTAATGTTTATTGTGGATGAGATCGAGGACAGGAAGCAATGAGTGGTTTTATCGACCGTGGCCATGATTTTAATCAGAGCACTGGTACACGGGGCTCAAAACTGGTGATTGGTTTGAATGAATATATAGATGGTTGGAGGGGCACAATAACCTTAGAATGCATATTTTATCTGACACCTATATGCCTTGGCTTATATTGCAAGCTCGAAGAGCTATTTCTACTCTATGTAAAAGAAGGAAAGTTTCTCTCTAATTCATTGACTTTTTTGCATAGACGTACATGTTAGCTGATGTGGCATCGCCAAATATAATTATATTCTTCCATTTCCATTTTCATGATGGCATACTGGCAGGTAGGATATGGTAGATTGAGGATTGGAAAGTATACCTACATAGGGATGATGTCAACCCAAAAGAAAAGAGGCAGCCTGAAGGTAAACAGGAAAAGCACGAAAATCCAGAAAATGGATTCTCTCACTCTCTCCCCCCACCTCCATTTCCCCAATGGATCCCAACACGGTTTCCCCCTTGTTCATTGCCCAGGAGACTCTCTGCTTCTACCCGATCAGTACAATATACAATCAATGTCCAAGATATCTCTTCTACGCACTTATGCTGGCGACCTGTGTCACTCGATGGACAGGTTGGGTCATGAACGTATTCTTGGGAACTGCCGCAACATACGCAGGAACTGCGGCAATCCACGCCTTTATCATGGTGTCTAGTCACCAAATGCCTCAAGTTCCTGGACCTGTCGCTATTCCATATCTGCCCGCCAACTCTAGCCTACGGAAGTTATTTCCCTATCTGGTCACCGAGACCAACCATGTTCTAGTCTCGCCCGCATCACTTGAGCTTGATTCAGATGCTGTTCTTGCCATTGTTGTCACTGGTTATCTCGTCTTTTTGCCACTACAATGCTGGTCTCGTATCCTAACACATGACCGAGCACGGAACCTTCTATTTTATCTCTGGCATGCCCTCATGCTGGCTGAGTCTGCATGTGCCCTCGTCTATGCTGCAAAAATACCCAAGACCTCACCTCAGTACATGTTTTGCTTTCCTGATCTCGCGCCGTTCGACGACACATCAAATGACGGCTGGCAACCCGCATGGAGAACATCCACATGGAATGACAGTGTGTGGGAAACATTTTCGAACATAACTCGATGGAATCAACTAGGAGACATCTGCTTCAACCCCTGCTTCAATTCAACCCAAATTCTACGACAGCCAGGCTCATTACATTCTGCCACTGCAGATGGACACTTCAAAGTCGCCGCCTCCCATAGCTTTTGGCAAAAGGCTTTGTACTCACATCGATACATCTACAGTCTCATCATTCTCTGTCTGATCCTGAACTGCCTCCTCTTGACTTACCGCTTCCTACCTTACCGATCACGCATCCCATCAGCCCAGATTGTGATAATCTGGAAAGAACGAAAGAATATGTGGAAAGGCCTCAAAGAAGAGGTTAGTGGTGTCATGAAGCTACCAAACAACCTGAATTACGACGAGGAAACCGGAAGGCTGACAAACGAGAATGCCGCTTTCCGGCGCCGAATACGACACATACTCAGCCGTCAGTTCCTCAAGACGTTTCTCCACGTGATTGTTGACGCTGCGATCCTCTTTGGAATACTCTTCAGCATGATAGTGAGTCCTCTCACCATTATTGCCTTTGTCGTTTGGATCGAGATCCAAATCTATAATGACGGACCTCCAGGGGAGAGTCCAAGTCAGGTTGGTCAGTGGGCGTACCCCACATCTCTAGCACTGCTTGTGTTCTCAGCTGCCATTTCAAAGCTCAAATATCGACTCGCTTCATCTGTTGAGCTGGACCGTGAGATTTCCGTACTGAAACAACATCTGGGGGACTTGGAGAAAATGAAGGAGACACGATCGGGTTGTGGCTCGATTGAACTCAGAACAGTCGCAGGTCAGACCAAGGAAAACTAGACGACTTAAGGAAGTGATTTACATCCGGAATCCTCGCAAATGTCTTTTATTTGAGGCTATTTGGGAAAGAAGTTCACTAGAGGCGCTCACTCATAACAAAGAATACAGATAATTGTTTGCCAGCTCTATGAATTTTGATTCGGTAGGCTGTTGTTTCATGCGTGTGCCCAACTATACCTTATACTTGTTTTCACTGACAATAACAACGCGAGCCACAAATACATGGGTCTCTCTGGATCATAGCAGTCAACGCAGATTGCCTGTGGTGTTATGTGGCGACCCGCATATCCAGGCCAGACTGGGGCACACAGCCCTAATTTCTTCCAATCTGTTTGAACTGGATGCATTGCCATAAGGCATAATGCATGTCTCGGCCGATTTCTAACACCTCCATTTAACCACACCGTTCAGTCTCGATCCTGAAGCTCCAGTGTGTATTCTATCAAAGGTTTCTACGACCCCGGGCTCTGCACGATGATACAAAAATGGGAGTGATTGGTTCTCGAAGTGAGCATTTAAAGTCGCGATTTGAGGTCATACTCGTCTACTCTAACCTCTCCAATGCATCCCCTATACAAAAGCTTCTGCATCAAGATTGACCCCCATCCCATGCAGCATCAATATTCTCTTAACGGCATCAAGCTTCCTAACTATAAACCGAGGCAGGCGAGCACAAACCCCTGTGAAGGCCTATATGGTGGCTGTATACATACTGGACACGGGGGTTAGGCACATGATCACACTATAGCGGGAAGACCAAGGATTAGCCCGTCACGTCGAAGCGATGGTCTTTCTTTCATAGACGATCACTTGGCAGTGCGGGGGTAACACCTCGTACTCAAATAGGAGCAAGAAACTAGCCAAGTATCCTTGTTGGCTGTGACACACTGCGGTCGGTGCTGAGGAATTTTCAAAAACAAGATATTCGATTCGAGGACGTTGTTCCGTCAATTTCATTGCATGCCTAGGGATGGGTTTGAAATTTAATATAGCTCGGCGCTCCCCCATTACCCCCCTTTTTTAAGGTTGCTATACGGGTTTCTTTGTTCTAATATCCTGTAGGGGTGGTTGACGTCCAAATTTAAGACAAAGAAACTCCCCCTTGTTGCCCCCTTGTCACTCAAGGCGCCCACGGAGTCCCTGACTACACTATGAATCTCACAGAGACACAATCAACCAAAGGGTTCAATGACAATGGTGATGTCGTTGATACAACCAAAAACACCTCACACGTGCCACTTTGGCAATCGATCAAGAAATCCCCCAGAATCGTGGGTTATTGCCTCGCGCTAAGTTCGGCAATTCTTCTCTACGGATATGACCTAGTCATCGTGGCGACTGTGGCCGCAATGCCTCAGTTCCAGTAAATAATGCACCCCCAGGAGAATAGCGCGTGTCGCTGCTGACGTGCGACAGAGTTGTTTTCGGCCAGGAATACCACGGAAAGTACATCATCCCAACAATGTGGCTCTCCCTTTGGAACGTCTCCAGTTGCATCGGCATTATGTTTGGCTCTGTCGTCGGTGGTTACTATCAAGATCGCCGTGGACGTCGGATTACACTCGCTATAGGAAGTTTTTTATCCACCATTGCGGTCGCGATATGCTACATTTCCGATCTGCCAGACGGAATGGAGACTCGTCGAGGAGTGTTTTTTGCTGGTAAACTCTTTCAGGGGATTTGTATTGGCATTCTTTTGTGTGTTACGCAGACATACATGTCTGAGGTCCTTCCTGTTGCGCTCCGAGGTCCGGTGATTGCGTTCTATCCGATCTTCACACTTCTTGGACAACTCGTTGGATCGATCGTGGTTTACACTTCGCTAAAACATACAGGCGCAGAATCATATCGCATTTGCTTTGCGTCACAATGGCCTTTCTCCGCTATCCCGTTCGTTCTAGCGGCATTTTTGCCGGAGAGTCCAACCTGGCTTTTAAGGAAAGGACGAATGGACCACGCTCTCAAGGAACAGAAAAGACTCGATACATCTCACATCAACTCACAAGCTGTGATCGACGAGTTGCAGGCATCAATTGCAGCAGAGGACGAGGAGAGTGCAACCCATACATATGCTGATTGTTTCAAAGGTGTCAACATGCGACGAACTTTGATTGTCGCATTTGCCAACATTATACCTCAGATGTTCGGACTGCAGCTGCTGGCAAATTCCTCCTACTTTATGCAGATCGTGGGTATGGGTTCAGCTAATAGCTTGATTTTTTTGATCTTGGGCATTGGACTGGGCCTGATTGCGAATGTTATCAGCTTGTGGGCGCTGAATGCTTTTGGAAGAAGATTTCTCATTCTACTTACTTTGAATATTGTGATGGTAATGTGGTTCGCGGTAGGGATTGCAGGGATCTTCACGGGAATCGTGACCATTTGGTAAGACACTATATCAGGTCCCAAGAATGACAAGCTCACCTTGAAGTAGGTACACCGCGGTTAGCATGATGATTATTGTGATGATCTCTGGTCTTGGGTCGTGGCCTGCGTCTCATGTGGTTGCAGCCGAAGCGTCTTCACTGCAACTCCGAGCCAAGACCCAAGGTATTGGGTGGTTTACCAGCGGTTTTGGGACTGCAGTCTTTGCCATCATCTTGCCGTATATCTACAATGCAGACCAGGGAAATCTGAGGGCGAAGACAGGGTTCGTGATGGCAGGATTTGCTGCAGTGGCAGTCATTGTAGTGTGGCTAGGTATCCCAGAGATGAAAGGTCGAACGGCAATGGAGATCGATCGCATGTTCTCGTTGAAATTGCGGACTCGGGAATTCAAAGGCTGGCATAGCGACGTGGCTGTCATGAGTGAAACAGAAGACCTTCATCCGACCGTGAAAGGATGATAGTTCTTCCAACAATTGGTTTGAGGGGATAAGACGACCAGACAATGAGCAGCAAGACATCAAAAATGTCACTTAATTTTCCAGTTCTCATTATTCTGTCTATGTTGCATAGGCTAAGAACTGAAGACAAAATCTTAGCACCCAACCTGGGAATCAATGTACTATCCGCTCTCTCCGCCTCATAATAAAGTCCCTCCAGACGATCATGGCTTGAATATGGACCCAATGTTATGATCAACTGCTAAATCCGAACTCTTCTAGGGGTATGCTGATCCCTGTCACCGACGGTTATTCAAATATCATTTGCAGCCTGAGGCTCTACACCGTCTGTTCAAGGCGAGCTTCTTGACTTTTGGGCAGTTGATCACCTCGGTGACTCAAGTACATAAAAATGGCAAGATAAAGCAATCAATACTATCTCAATATTGTTTGAGTTACTTATAAATGCTTGTCCTCACAAAGCCTACATGCTCGGTGCCTAGATCCACACACCCCGGGCCCTTGCAACCCCTGGAGATCCACAGGTCCCGAGCCCGATATTACATGACTAATCTTAGATTGACGCCCGGGAGTAGCCCACGGAATGTGACTCTGGTTTCCTTTCTCACTACATTCTCCTTGTCAGATCCTCAAAAGCCATGTCTCATACCCCGCCAGATAGGAACAAACCTGCCAAGCGTGGAACACGGAACTCCCTTTCGTGCGCACAATGTCGCTATAAGCACCTTCGTTGCGACGGCCGGAAGCCTGTCTGCTCACGCTGCGCCACAAATACAGTACCATGCGTTTATCCTGTATCACGCCGACGTGGAAATCCAAAACCAGGGAACTCCTCGCTGTCGCCTGTCAGAGCCGTCTATGAGAATCCCATTGACTCATCACTGCAAATTCCCACTATATCTTCATCCTCTTCTGCCGCTACCAACGGGGAGATTGAATTATCTTCGGACTCGGCATCCTCATTTCTGAGTTTGTACTATGAGTTCTTTCATGCAGCCCATCCTTGCGCATTGCCTTTCCAAGTTTTCAAAACTCGTCTCAACGAACCGAAAATTCAGCCGCTTCTTCGGGTGATGTGTTACATCGGATCTATTTTCGATATTTCCTGTCAACCTCAATTAATAGAATCATGCGCTCAACGTGCTCGGGACTCAGTTGCCGAAATAAGGTCACTGATCCGGCCCTTTACCCCATTTGACGTTCAAGCTCTCCTGCTTTATTCCATCGCTGTATACTGGTGCAATAAAACGGAAAGTGGTGTTGAACTCCTTGACGAGGCAATTCGCATGGCAGTAGCCCTTGGGATGAACAAAAAGGAATTTGCCTCAACAAATGCAGAAGTTGACGCTGTGCTAGAAGAAAGCTGGCGCCGCACTTGGTGGGTGATCTATATCACCGATGCCCACATTGCCGGTATGCTCGCAATCATTATTACTCAGGTTACATATCTGATGACGGCAGGATCTACCCATACGTACCCATTCCGAACAAGCGGCATTGAAATCACGACCGACTTCCCTTGTGAAGAAGAACAGTATGAAACTGGGGTATCGTAACCATCTTATTTTATTCCAAGGGCTTAGCTGACCTTTCTTATCAGGCTATTCCACCCCCACGCTCCATAGAAGATTACGAGAACAGGGAATTTCTTGGAGAAGACGAAGCTAGTTTTTCCTCCTATGCGGAGCTCATTGGCTTGACAATGGGAATTGATCGGGCGTTGTCTCCAGGCAACACTGCAGATTATCGAATATACACTACAATGGCTGCTAGCGCTGATACTAGTGTACGAGCATGGCACTCTCTTCTGTCTCCGAAAAGGCGGCAATTAATTCGTCGCGATGGATCATTTGACGAGGTCATGTTCAAAGCATTCTTCATTATGCACACGTGAGATTTGCAAGTCCCTTCGTCGCTGTCCATTTATCTAACCTGAGACTAGATACACTGTTGAGATCCATCGGCCGCTGTCAGCTTTGTCTCACAGCGCAATCGAATCAGTGTCGCGCTGTGCTCCGCTGGCTCCATCAGAGCAACTGAAATGCAACAGCGTGCAGGAACGCGACCTGCATACTTTCAAATGCACTCAGGCTATCAATAGCATTGATGACTTATTGACTTTGCCAACTAATATGAAGAACCACTCTCCCTTCATTATTTGCATGATTGCTAATGTGACCATTGCACATCTATCGGCTTGCAGGTTCATCTTTTCAGGGGACCAGCGAGTCAAAAGCCGAGAAAAGATTCGTTTGACCATGGGTACATTGAAGCGCCTCAGTGAGCACTGGTCACTTGGCAAACGGACTTACCGTGAGATTGGCATAATTGCCCGAGAATTGTTATCTCTTACAAAAGATCCCCCGGCGAGTTTGGGTGCTGTGGATCGGCCCCTTCCAGATCCAAAATCACCTGCGTTGCCGCCATTGGACATGTTACCGAACTCCGATTTTGACTTTTGTGCCTTTTTCGATGCGGACGCTCCTGGTCTAACGGAAGCGGGCTCATTTATGCTCTAGTTGATCCCACCGTGGATGACCCTATAATAATGATTACATTTCTACGAAGTGCAGATTTTCTCTTTTCTTATCTTTTTCTATCTTTTTGGATGGGTGATTATATGGTTCTATTCATTTTTTCACAGAGTGTGCTATTAATCACTTCAATCCTCGGCTATTTCATTTCCGGTACTCTTCGTCAATCTGGATAAGTGCCCCCATTCCATCTCTCTCAAAGGCCTCGGTATCTGTGATCATGGTTGCAATCAAAGTTGCAGGCTCGGTTTTGCTAGCATTATCGCTAATGCGATGATGACAGCCCGGTGCTTCAAACCAGCTTCCGCCCTCTTCAATGGTTTTCATAGGATCGTCATTCATTTTGTTGAGAAGTGTACCTTTCAGTACATAAGCGCCAACGTTCGCGCCTCCATGACGGTGCGGGGGAGTTGATCCGTTGGGTGGGAATTCGACGCGCAAGCTGACAATTGTCTTGTTCGGGATGCCGACTAGCTTGTAAGAGTAGGCAATCTCGATCGAGGGCATAGGACGGCTGATTGTCTCATTAGTATCCAACCGGTAATATGGGTTGAGACTAATTACCTGGGGTCGTATGTTGGTTCCTGCATATTGGAATTGGGCTGGTTGGACCGGAATGTTGGGCAAGAGGATTTGTCTGGTTTCAAAGACTCGCCGAGTTTCTTCAGGTTTATATAGGAGACTGAGCAGATGTTCGGTAGTGCACGGATGTGTCACCTTGCCTTACACAGCTCCGTATAGCCTACGGGATTTCCGACGTCATATGTGAAGCATACAGTATTCCGGGATAGGCAATAGGCTATCAACGGATAGCCTATTGCCCAGGGACACACGAACAAAAACACATCACACACGTTGACTCCGATCTAATATTTCGCATATTGATATTTGCTTGAAATGTAAAACCGTATTTCCGGCTGATTATTTCAAGTACGCCTTTGCTTTCTGATTGCCAATTGTGGTGGACATTGACCGAGTGACGTCATCCCCGACCGAGGAATTGGTGATATCTCACCAGTTGATTAACGGTCTCAGAATTCCTATTTTATGTTGATCTTGGTATATCCGGGCTTTAAACTGCCAGCTCGTTTTTAAAATGATTCTAATAATGATTTGGGCGCCAAAAAATGTGAATATCCTTGATCAGCTCACCAGGGCGCTAGGAATCTAGGTATTGCCACAAGACAGTCACGAAACATGAAGGATTTAGTTTGTGTATTGCATGGAAGCGACGAAAACTCCAAAGTACCAGTCTCTGTAGTTCTCTTATCGAAACAACCCTATCCCTTTGAGCGCACTCGACGGCTGGGGTCTTCACCCCAAAACGTCTATACTGAACAGGATTTGCTGGCATTGCCAGAACTTCCACAATTATCGGCCAGTCAATACACACATCGGTGAGCCTACTTTCGATGGTTTTTATCCGAATTAGCATACAACGAAATCGGCCATGGCCTTCTCCCGCTCGTCTTATAGCTCCAATACTTACCGGGCACGGCCGATATTCTTTTTGCTTGTGACGGTCAGAAACATGTGAGGTTTGGAGGCAGCCTTGAGCATCGATGGCGACTAAGGGCAGGATCTAAGCCCTTACTATTTGTGCCTATCTTCTCATGCAAATCAGAAGCCCGTAGGAGAGGGATGGCAATGCGACCAATGAGACAGGCTTTACAGATGTTGTCGAAGAGAAAGCATGAAGTTTGTTTATTTGAGTGAACGAGGGCAAATTACACACGGGGCATCACACCTAGAAATCAGTGAGACAGATTAGACATCAAGATGAGGGCACTTTGCCCTCCAGTCGTGTAGCACATCGCATTGCATTCGATGATTGACCTGCGTAGGACCTACCTTCGTTTCCCACGTACTTTTTAAAGGGTGAGGATATAGATCTAGTAAGTTGATAGATTAACGTATGCCAAGGCGCTATAATATCGCCTGGATATTTCAAGAAAAGCAAGCATTGATTGGCAAAGAATAGTGCGGGTTAGAGGACTACCAGAGACCAATCAGGCCCCCATCACAGCCCATTTAGGGGGTTCAACTAATGTCTTGTAATCGCTATCTCCAACATTCCACTTGTTATATGTACCTTTATTTATTGAAATTTAGAATAAAAAGAGCTATATAGGTGTATATTTCAATTTTAAAGAGAATCAGATCAGTAGATAGAGGTCGAGATATCGGAGAAATATTGACATATCTTTTTGAATGTATTCGAAAGCACTACCACTAATATGTAAACATCTGTAATTCATCAAGTCTCTGGATAGCATGTTTTCTCGCGTTCCTAAATGTGATTCATTATTTTAACTATTGGTTTACTATATATAGATTCAAATAATAATATATTGCTGTCAGAAAAAGGTGAAAACGGGATCTATATATATGTGAAAGTAGTGATGAAAAAGGTCACGTTTTTTGCAATGTTTATTTTGTTTGGTGCCTTTTGGGCCCTAGGCCCCCATCCAATTGTACTAGCCCGAAGATAGGACTGAAAACCCAACCTTTTAGTGGGCTGGGTCTAGTTGGGGTTTAGGCCTTGTGGGCTTTGCGGAGCTCTAGTCGAGCGTCGCTGTCGGATTTCTCGAGAAATGGAAACTCCGTCACTTCACTTAAATTTCCATGGGCTTTGAGAAAATGGTATGTAGTTTCAAATCCCGATTGTCTAGTCAAATCCCTAGCCCTAGGAGTCTGCCGGTATCCCTTATAATCTTTGTAATCCCCCTTCGACCAAAGACATGTGCTTCACATCTAGCTTTGTTCATTTCGACCTGAATACTTTTCGGTTTTACATTCTACCTTAACTTTATAATTCAATTTGTCATCCTCAACCCACGAAGGGCAATATGATCTCCGAGAAAGAATTCTTGGCTCGCCTCCCTCGGTCGATCAGCCACTGGCTAGGCTATCGTGAAAGCGCACCAAAGCCTCCCTCGAAATATCTCGTTCACTTCTGGTCATTCATAGCTGCATTCTGTGGACTATGTGTGGTACAGGCTATATTCAATTACTCCTCCTACTTCGTTGAACGTGGCGTGCCAGGTATCATTGCTTCTTATGTGCGTCTCATCTTTTCTCTGCGTCCTTTTCGAATGCTAATTCCAAATCAGGGAGCATCGGCAGTTCTCGTCTATGGTTCTATTGAGGCCCCTTTAGCACAGCCACGCGCTCTGGTCGGCGGCCATTTTTTGAGCGCTCTCGTCGGCATCTGCATCACGAAACTCTTCAGTCTAATGCCCGATGAAGAAAAGTTCAACTCTTTGCGCTGGCTAGCGGCTTCGCTTTCGTCCGCTGTTGCCATTGTCGTTATGCAAATTACCGAGACAACTCATCCTCCAGCCGGCGCCACAGCCCTCCTTCCCGCAGTGGACGAAGCTGTGTGGGCACTGTCTTGGTACTATCTGCCAGTCATCTTACTTTCGTCGACTATGGTGCTGGCTGTGGCTTTGATCGTGAACAACATTCAGCGCCGCTATCCGGTTTACTGGATCAGCCCACCGGCCGCCAAGCCTGTTCTTCCCCAGGCCAGCAACTCGAAATAGAGAAACTATTTGCGTCTGAATCGGAAGATTCCTCTATGGAGGACACGGGGCTGCTAGGGAATTATTATGAGATACATCCCTTGTTGCGATAATAAAAGGAAGTTGAGCGGAGAAAGACCTCCGATGTCTCTTTGTATGGCAAGGTGTCAGGATGTGTTTTCCGATGAGTTTGGGGGCTAAACACTCGAGTATGACTAATTTTCAATGACTCACCTGTCTATTGGTATGGAAAAAAGTCGTCTGTATATTAATTTCAATATATTCCTTGGAGTATTAATTGGTCAGAATCAATCCCGGTGTTCCGTACTCCATGGGTTCTCAGTCTAGACCCGATCCTCACAGTGTCGAGCCGCACGGCTCGCCAAGGCCATGGATCTGCGGAAAAAGTCAATGCCATTGTACACAATATACATCTGAGATCTATACGGAGTACGGAGTACAGAATTATCATTTTATGGCTGTAGCCCAAACTGTAGATTGAGTTTCAGTCTCAAGGGTGTTTATAGTCGAATAGGTTGGGCGACCGGCGTGACTTGCAATTCCTCCGGCCAAGACAACCTTCAACATTCTAAAAACTATGTGCGTGGCTTATTGCCAGGTGTGGGTCGGCTTAGATTTACGGCAATTTCACTAAGGCCGCAGGACGGGCATTGGCGTCGTCTGAGGGATTTTCGCGTTAGCTTGCAGTAGCCTTGCGTTGGATCGAGGGAACGCCGTAAATCCAAATTGGCCAATATGATCATAGTCGTCTGCTTTGGCTTCACTAAGCTCTATTCGGTTTTCCAAGGTTTGCGATCCCTTCGTGCCGGGGTCCGCCAACGTGAGTCTATACGGATAGACCTGCAAATTGGACCTAAAAGAGTTTCAGTTGTAAAGTGAGGGATGATCATCTGCTTACTTTGACCAATGGAAAGCGATAGTAACTAGTTACAATATGAGATGACATAATAGAAGGACTTGGTCAATATGGCTATCCGAGGGATTGGAGGGCTGATCCAAACGACCTGCAGAATTTCTGCTGCTGCGAGGTCGAACGGCCGCGGCATTTATTACCACAATCAAAATCCAGCTATATGCTGACTCTCCCGAGCCAAATTACTTCTGTACCAACAACACCATAAATCCAATGATGCATAGCTTCTGTGGTGTAAATAATAGCCAACACTATTCAAATGCCTAAAATGAGGATACCGACGGGTTCGGTAGGTTACCGTAGGTATAGGTTGAAGATTATTGGTTTTCCCGTTTTACTTGTACATTTTGTAATAATGCACTATTATTTGAGCACCGGAAATGCGAGTCTGTCCGAATTCCTCCGCCCTATCAGTTACCTCATCTCCATATTGTTGGGATCTAAATGATTGATGTATTGCCCGTCGGATTTCTCCGGTATTGTATATCATATGGCATTTATCGTGTTCTCCAAACCATGGGGATTCTTTTAGCAGAATGAAGGGATCGGTTCCATGCGGTGTCATCTCAAGTTTATGATATAATTTGGCAACGGACGAAAATTCCTGAGGAATACCCCATGTTGTCTTCATTCCCCGCAGATCGGACCACTTAGAGAACATCCTATACGATAGGCCTTGTATTCTATAGGTTTCTCGCGCAATGGTAGACTACAATCGTACTTTTAGTGGTCAGTACAGTGGGACTATCTATACATTGCATTCATAACGAGAGTCTGCACGGTGAATATACGAAGCTCTGACTTCACCTAGATAATGTGATTTCAATTCGAACTCCAAAATATGTAAGCTGCTTTCCTTCTCTCAAATAATTGAACGAGCTATACGCATAGGAGCAGCTTTGAACCATGCACCCCAAGTAGGATACTCAACTCTTGGTGGAAGGTCCACATCAAGACTAGAGTCCCTTATGAAGCTGTCGATATCCATCTTCTCAATTGGAATGAACCACCCTCCACGATCGAGACTCGGGTCTTTATTCAACTTGGTATAAACAAGCCAGCCGGCGAAAAGTAGTATCACGAGCGGCCCAGCAAGGTAGTTCATGAAAAATGTCTCCGCATCTTTTGAAGCCACGGAGACATAAAATTCTGCAATGAGGCATAGCACATTGAGACCCAACCCAATATAACTCCCAATCACACCGAAGGGAGCAGCATAGGTAAGCTCCTTTACTGTGTGCCCATTATGTGCCCAGGCGGAACGGAAGCGGATATGGGCGAGGCAGATGCTACCCCAGACAAAAAAGTCAGATATACCAGACAAGGCAAGAAGCCAGTTGAAGATGGTGCTTCCAGACGGTGCTTCGTTGACAAAGGCGAGCAAACCAAAGGTGACCTGCAGGATAATGCAGTAAAGAGGTCGGCCTCCCTTGTCGATATAAGACATAACTCGCGGTGCCATTCCCCGTGAAGCCAGAGCCTGGATAGTGCGACTGGACGCATATGTTGCAGAGTTAGCCACACTAATGACCGAAATAGTGATAATTGCATTCATGACAGATGGCAACCCAGAGATACCGGCGTTCTTGATTGATACGACGAAAGGAGAAGCCTTGGTATTGGCGCCAGATGCTCCAAGCAGCCATTCGGCGTTGGAAGGCACAATCAAGCCAACAATAAAGGTCCCCAGGACATAAAAGATCATGATGCGCCAGAAGACTTGCTTGGATGCTTTGGGAATGGACTTGGCAGGGTTGGCTGCCTCTGCAGCAGCAAGACCAGCCATTTCTGTGCCACCAAAGGCGAAGGCTGCTGTCACGAAGACAGAGCAGAACCCCTTGAAGTCTGTGAATGCACCAGGATCACTCCAGTAACGAGCTCCGATGTAGCCTCCTTTCGGGGCTCCACCGCAATCGATCACGATTCCAAGAATGATAAAACCAATGACAGCAGTGATCTTGATTGCTCCCAGTACAAACTCGACTGCGGATTGAGGTCAGTACAAAGGTATCCCGGAAAGACATACAGATGCTGTTTCTCACCTTCTCCATAGCCTCGAACACCGAAAAATTGGATCGTAGTCAGAGCGACTAGAAAGACTGCGATCCAAATTCCACTATTCAAAGTTTCACTCCAGTAACGAATTGTTAAACTCGCGGCCGTAAGTTCGAAGGGAAGGATAATGAGCCATTGGATAGCGTAGTCCCAGCCGACCGCGAAACCCCTGTCATAACATGAGTAGTCAGCTTCAGTTGATCATGAACTTAGTACATGAGCACTGAAGACTTACCAGGCTGGACTGATAAACCGGACACAGTATGTGAAAAACGCTCCGTTCACGGGATATAACACGGCCAGCTCGCCCAAGGCCTGAATTGTAAGAAGAAGCATCCCTCCAACAACCAAGTAGCATATTAACAAAGCACCAGGTCCTCCCGTGCGTAGCGCGGATCCTGTACTAACGAAAAGACCAGCACCAATAGCACCACCTAGCAGAAATCAATATCAGAATGAAAGGAAAACCCGTCATAGGTTGCTTACCAACAGCGATCATCTGCATATGTCGATTCTTCAGATTCCGCTTCAGCGGGTTTATTTTACCAACCTCTACATCATCGTTGGATGGAGGGAGGCTTTCGGTTGGCTCCACGGTAGTGGCCGGCTTTTTCTCATTATCTGAGTCCATGGCGGTCATGCTTCTGGATTTTCAGGAAAGAAAATATATCGACAGCGACTGGTTAGTTATATATCAGCCCGGCCCAGATACACGGCTGACTTGGATTCCGTCTGTGATAAGCAACCCATCAAGTCAGGCTGCTCAGTAGCACGTCGCCTAGTTTCTCCAGATATAATTGTATGGCAAGGTAAAGATAAGACTTTCTGTCCTTCTAGCCTTGGAAGTAAGATTTTGATATCGGGACATTCGTGGCCAATCATGAAGAGAGCCCAGATATGTTTTTTGAGCTTAGCTGAGACGCCACTCTTGGCCAGGGCACACTCGGTGATCATTTCCCCTATTCTCCGGATCCAATTAACTATATGAAATGTTCTTTGCTTGAGAATACCCCATATAACATTAGTTTGGAGCAGAAATAGTTGAGCGCCAATGCTCGGACCTCAGATAAGCACCCCATGCCTTAACTTCCAAACGTCCAAAAGTGGAGGTAGCGGGGTTGGAAGTACGCCAGGGTCGGGCCCTAGAGTATCGAAACCAACTTCCATTTGGGGTTTCTGGTGTTCACCGGGCAGATAGCATGGTCCCTATAGGTATCCGGATCAAATATAGGCTTGAACCAGGATTAGGGATCGGGTTGAGCCAGGCCAAAATGGGCATATAGCGCACCATTCTCAGGCCATGATATGAGCGCATGTCCGAAAGGGAATCTTGTTGCTGTCGACCTATTACACCACGCTGCGTTGAAATAATTGCTCTTATCATGTGCCAATATGCATTCAGAGAAAGGAACAGTGTCACACCCCTTGGATACGCGTTGGATTGCCCGGGCGCTGGTGATCGGCAGTGCCTCCCTCTCTTATGAGGAAATAATTGCCGACCGCCTTAAATCGGTACTTTGTTCTTGTATCGGTGTTCCTAGCATAGATAGCTATAGTGACTAATATGTTGAGGATACATTTCTGTCAAAGGATAGCATTTCGTACGAACAGCGTACTGAGTAGTTGCCAACATATCGAGTCTGAAAGCTCATGCTGAGTTGAATTATGAGCAAGACGAGCCTCTTGTCTTCAACCAACCTGCAGCAATGCCATATTGTTCTCCCTATCCCAGTGCAAGCCAGGAAGATGTCCATAGCCCTTCAATTACCACTAAAGATTACTCGGCAACATGATGTGCAATGTTATACTCCGTCACCGTGTGAGCCCTGTTATTTATCAAGCCAAGGCAAAGTCCAGTTGCAGCTTTTAGTTGACAAAAAAACTAGAACTCCTGAGAACGCTCTCACGTATTTTTATCACAGCATATATAGAACACTCTTCGAACGTGCCCATTTCCCGCTTACTGTTTTAGATGATTTGTACAATTCCAAAAGCTGCGTTGACATGTTGCTGACAAAAATGCACACACTGCGAAGCGGCTGCTTTGGTGTCCTCCTGGGCCTTTGGTATTGCCTCCCTGTATACATCGCCAGTAAAATGGTACATTTTAAGGTTAGTTCAATGTGGGTCAGCATGATGCTAACCTAATCTAGCTAGGCTCTTATGGACCCACCAATCGTAGTTACGGCAGACAATCCATGTCACTCTGGACTTGATTCTGATTGGCTTCCACTTCACAATAATAATTCGTCATCATTTCCCCTGCGCATTCTCCGCTGAGCCCCATCCATTGATTTGTATTCGCTTCAACGGGGCCCGACATGGTGATGTATTGTGATGACCAATGTGTAACTTTGAAGTTTTCCCCAAAGCATGCTGCATTTCTTAATAATAGAACGTGATTCCCCTCGGCTCTATTTAGCTTCACCTTGCCTCCAGCAGATGGCCATGTCAGCTCTCCGAGTCACCTGCTTCAAGCATCGGTATGGATATGGTCAATCCAGGTTGCCCTTAATATGTTAGCTTAATTCAAAATGGATAAGCATTGCTGTAGCACAGATCGAATCGCCCGTAAATGAGGTGTACTTTGTGCCGGTCTGTGCTGTAAGCCCTATAGGACTATTTAATACAACTTGCAAAATTCTATCTAAATAAGAAGCTATGTGGACTAGAGTGCCATAAAATTACATTGTAGCGACATTAATTGAATACTTTTACGAGATATATTGCTTAGTGAACAATAATGATACACAGGTACCCACGTCGGTGACTACGCTGCAATCGGAACCTTGAAGCCAAATGACTCTATAAAAGAGACATCAAGAATTGGTTGAAGGTGCTGGCATGACTATGTTGGTAGCTGCAAAAGATCGAAAATCCTCTACATTTAGCCCAGCCACAGATCTATACCTGGTATATGTTCCCGTCCCACTAAGATATATATCTTGTCGTAGTCCTCCTTGGTGGGGCCTGCAGAGTGTGGACGAAAAAAGCTCCCGTCCGGGCACCAGATCATTGTAACCGCTTTTTGACATAATGCAGACCGACACCTGTGGCGGAGTTCCTATGGCACTAGGTGGCAAGAACTAGCCCTAGGTCTTCGTCGTTGTTAGTTGCTTTGGTTTGCGTCGCTGACATCCCGCGCAGCCCTTCTGCCTGGGACATTGACCATGGCTAACATCTTACTAAACAAATCATACATGCAGCGTAGAAATTTGCTGAAATAAAGCCATAAAGAAAAGGTGTTGCAACAAATGAAGGTATAACAAGCTAGACAGCCTTCTGAGAGGCTCTAGCCCGAGAGGCCCCAGGCCAGGGGCCACTGTCGATAACATAATACACTCCCAGGGCCCACTACAGCTACCACATCTAGGCTCAGCCATATTTGCTCGCGATCTACTTCTGATTCTTATTTTCCGCACTTTGAAATTTAGCTATGTATAAACTTCTGGTGACTCAATTATTGGAACTTGCTGGAAAACCTTCCCAATCCAAATTTACAGCAGAACAAGACAAAGACATCCTCTTCATCGAGAGAACTTGATACAGAAAAGTAGGCATCAAAAGACAGAGCAGATATAATAGCAAAGACATGGATCATTTCGGCATCTGATTACACGAGTAAGGTACCTAGGTAAGTCCAAGAACAAGCAGTCATAATCGATTACACAATGTACCGCTGATCCCATTTTACATCACAACACAGCAAGAGTTTTGCTTCTTCGCCTAGATTTCGTTGCGTTAGTACATTCGGGTGAAGGCAGGATTTGATTTACATACCTGGGTATAGAACATCTTGCTCTGAGCTGACAGCCCATCACTCTTCTGAACCAGGGAGTCGATCTTCTCACCACGTTCCAGAACGCTTTCGATCTGGAAACGGTCAGTACGTGAAATGAGCATACAGATATGAGAGCATACCGTCTTGTGCAGGACAATCTTGGTTTCGTCAAGCTCCTGCTGTATCTTCATGATGCTGTCGGCCTGGCTTGGGTCCTGATACTTGACGATATATTCCTTGAGCTGTGGCAATGGGCATGCATTTTCGCGCAAAGAGGGATCGGAAAAGGCAGTGCGTGGGTATTTCGCAAGGAACTCGTCCACAATCTTGCCCAAAAGCTGGTGAGCCACTAGGGCAGGATAGTCTCCATCTGTCACGATAACACCGGCGACACCCTCTGTCCGTCCATAAGCGTGGAATGTGTAGGCCTTCTCTTCAATATCCTGCCGTTGACCTGGCTTTGTCTTCTCGGCGACGGTTCGGTTGAAGAGCATCAAGAATTCATCGTAGCTGTTAAGCGCTTAGCGGTTAGTGACCTAACTGTGTCGAACCGAGAGAGGATGAATGGGCATACTTCTGACGAGTGAAGCGCGAAAAGCTAGTAGTAATTAGCGAAACGATTCAGTCGGTTGCAAAGGGCGCAGGTGAAAGTACCTGCTGAGGTCCTTTTCCCCACATAGCTGGAGAGCTGGTTGAGTGTCGTTCCTGAAAACCTGCAAAATTCACAGATAAGTACCATATCTAAGATTGTACTCAATCAAATCACAGCTGGAACGAAACATACACCAATATAAAGAATCTTCATGGTGACAGCGTGGTTGTCCGCACAAGGACAAGGAGCCAAGTAGGTCTCGGGAGTAGTGGGGCGTGGAGTGGTAGGATGTGCTTAGCAAGGAAATGCGCTGGTATCAAAGAACCAGGCAACTTCTTTATCGTAGGATGCCAGTTGTATAATCAGCTGGAGTGGCAAAGCAAAGTGACAAGTGTTAAGCCTAACATAGGCTCCTGAGTTGCCGATAACAATGATGCACTGGACCCTCTACATCGTGGCCTAAGGCACGAGAATCACACCGCTCTTGTCATGCGACCGGCAGAGCCCTGCGGGCCTGCCCTATGACTACTTTTGGTTCAGCTTATCTCCTCATTCTTTGTTGCTTGGCATATCACTTATTGATCGTTGAGTGAACTGAATAGTTCTATCTGGCAACATGGACAGCATAGCAGCTACCGAATCGCAGTGGCTGTCACAGCTGGCAGCTATGCGTCAGGCCATTGCCGATCTGAAGCTCCCCCAAGACCCCCTCATGAATCGATCAGCTATGGAAGCGATCTTGATCTGGACATTGATGACGACTACTCATCTCCAGGAACAAATGATGATGTCTGGGATATCATCAGCTCAGACGATGAAACTTCCGACGACTTGGACGACTTGCATGGACTCGATGGACTTCATCTTGCACAAGGATCCTCCTACAATCGGTTTTGGCTAGAAGACAAATGCCAGGATCTGGCCATGCGAAACTCAAATATAGACGCGACGGAGCTTGCTCAACAACTTATCGCCACCCTGGCTACTGACAGCAACGACGAGGAGCTACAAATGTCTTTGGCTGAGGTTGTTGGGTTCGATGACCTAGATCTGGTGATTGAGCTGATTGCACACCGAGGCGAAATTCTGTCGGACAAGGGACCTCGCTTGGAATCCCAGACAGATGGGCTTGCGGCAGGTAGACTACAAACACGAGCAGAGCGAGAATATGCCCTGCAGCAGCGCGACTACGAACATAAGAGTGCAGCGTTAATGCCAGCCCAAACCCGATCGGAGCCCTCCTACCCGCATGTTTTCAAGCACCATA